GAGGCAGCATTCATGATGGGGGTCCATGATGATCTGTGGTATAGTGGTGCATTAATGCACATGGCATGAGTGACTTGCAAATCTGTGAAGGCACCATTAATGCTGAACAATATATTCAGGTTTTGGAGCAACATATGCTGCTATGAAGACGATGTCTTTTTCACAGAAGGCCTTGCTTATTTCAGCAAGACAAAGCTGAACCTCATTCTGCCCGTATTACGACAGCATGGCTCTGTAGGAAAAGAGTCTGGGGACTAAACTGGCCCGCCTTCAGTCCAGACCTGTCACAACTGAAAATATTTGTCACATTATGAAACGAAAAATATGACAAAGGTGAACTTGACCTGATTAGCAGCTGAAATCCTAAATCAAGGCAACAGGTTTTTGTCGATTCGTTGTTGCAGCCCACACCGCTATCTCCATTGCCGATACTGCATTTAAGTGCCAGTATCACCGTCGATACCGATTTGGCATCAGTATCTGTGCACGATTTTGAATAGTTTCCAAGTAGTGTCTGAAGGCAGAGAAGGCAAAGGCAAAAACTGGTTAGTCTTCAGTGGCCCGGTGTTTTCAAGAGGGCACACATGTGAATCACTGCTGTAATCTCTTTATCTATATCCACTATATCTGTTGTTCACGATTGTGCAAATTCCAACGCTGCTGTCATGTAGACTTGTCACTGAATACGCTAAAAAAAAGCAGTGATACCAAGCTGTTTAATTTAAATTGTACTGTGTTGGTGTAATGTAGATGGAAAAAATGATCTGTAATTCATCTGTATTTATAAATAATTCATGAACATGAAAGATTTCCACAAAGACTCTGGTTGACTCATAAATAAGGCCATTGTAAGCTGGGGATGTACCATCATTTGTGCTGTGGAGAGCAGTTCTGTGTTTGAGGTTTTGTTATAGAGATGGAAGAGATATGAATAACCTCTCTGTCTCAGCTTGTAGAGACTCCATTCCTCTTCAAATTTGGGCTTTGCCTGAACTTTTTTTTTTAGAATAAGTAAGTCTCTTACTTATTCTATCTTTGCTTTAATTTTCTTTGTCTTCGTGTTTCTCAGACCGTGGTGGTAGAATGACATAAATTTTTCTCTGATGTCTTTTTTTTTTTAATATTCCAGTAAACATTATGTATTAATGTTCATATTTGAAAAAAAAAAACAATGTTAATCAATGTGGCATTTAATACCTAAATAATGTTTAAAATGCACACACTTGTGCACACGCCAACTGAATTCTGTATTAATGCGCCAAAGGTGTTTCTTGTGTGGACTGTGGAATATAGAACTGATAGTTGGGGCCAGACATAATCATGTAAAAACCTTACTGTGACATATCTCTGTAAATGCGCAATAATTATTTACTTGCCGTGAAGTAAAGCAGAAAATGTGGCATGTGGTTAGGTTTATGTACCTTTTCAGTCAGTAGCCAGTAAATCCCCTTTAGCCACCAGTCTTTCTTTTCTTATTATTATTTCCCCATTTTTTTCTTAAAGAATGCTTCTAGTTCAGAAATATTCAGAAATATTCTAACACACAACCACAAAGCATAATAGATCCACCCAATGCATAACAGTTGGCAAGGTGTTTTTGTTTTAAATTGCTTCTTTACCTAAATCACCTAAATGTGTCAGTTCCCAAAGTAAGCAGAAAACTTTAAACTTAAAGTTAGACAGTTTCCTATATCAATTTTTGTTTACAAAATTATTTTTATTTTTTCTTTTGAAAATTTTACTATTAATTTTGTGAATCTAAGGCCAACTTCAGCCTCGTGGAGAACACGACTCTCAGCAGCTGCTTTCTCCACAGGATTCAAACAGCCGTTTAGTGCAGATTCTGAACAAGCGAAACAAATAACTAGGAATATTAATACCTACCAGTTTGCACCTCTGTTTCATTGTAGAGTCTAGCTCTATTTGATTGTATAGTTCATCATAAATAAATTCGTAATGCTTGTTTAATATTAAGCATTACAGATTAGTTTCTGCAGCCTTATAGTTTACATTTTTTGTTGCAGTTTTGTTTGTTCAATTTTTTTTAATTTATTTTATGCTTCCTAGGAAAAGCCAGTTATTTCTTCAAAAAGAAGAAAGTTATTTCTCTAAAAGACAACAGTGGAAATGACCCCAAAAAAGGAGTTTTGGGAATGACCAAAAAATGAATGAATAAATAAATTAGAATTTAGAATTGGAGGTGAATATGTATTAGCATATCTTTTTTTTGTTGAAAATGTATAGTGATACAACAATTTGTATTGTATTTTTAAATTTGCCTAGTTACACCCCTATTCAGGACTGTTAACAAAAAGTTCAAATCACATAAGGCTAATCTAAAATCAGGCTTTTGGTTTCAGGCCTACACTTTTCTTGTCACGAAGAGCATGTGACAGAGCACAGACCTGCCGCACTAAGAGGCATATGGAAGTTTCTTTCTCTATTTTTCAATCCCCCCCCCCGTCTCCCTCTTTTCCTTCCCCACCCATCAATCATTTTATTTCCTCAATATTTCCATAGTCATTATGATGTCATTGTGTATTTTCATCAGCTCTGAACTCAGTACTGAGCTTGACTTTCCTTCAATAACGATCAAGTCTTTATTTTAGGCTCTGGGTATGTTTGCTTTATTCATGTCCTTTATAGCTCTGGATTGCTGTGCTCTAATTATGCAGGCTTGTGTGGCTGTAAGTCTGTTTGTGTCCCCAGAATAACCCTGTGTGGTGAGCACGGTGTCAGTAATCTGTGTTGTGTGAGCCGTGGCACTGTGTGGTTAAAGGCTGGAGGTGTTACAGCCTCGCCCAGCTGAATACGCTTCATATGCTTACATTCAGAGTGAAACTGTACACCCACGCCACTGAGAAATATCTACTGGTTAGGCACAACTGTCTAAGCGTTGGCAAGTTCAATGGTGACGCTATAGTCGACCGTAGCCAAAAAGATGCTAGCTGGCTTCACATAATTTGGAGAAAGCTAGCCTTCAGCCTCCTAGCACTGGTGATACCATGTGATTGAGGGAGACCTAACTAGTGGGTGGAATTGGACTCAGCCAAATTGGGGAGAAAACTAGAAAGAAAAAAAATTGACTAACAATATGTTGATATTGTATTCAGTAATGTATGTGACTTTATGCTCCTAGAAACAATCAACATAATGTATAGCCCATATTCAAGTGTAGCGTGATAAATATTAGGCGATATTTTATGTACTCACTGTTGATATATATTTTTTTTTTTTAATGGAAAAATGGAGATTTATTTTTTTGCACAGCGACAACATTTTATCCCCATTTTGGCACTGATTTGGCACCTCTTTGCTAGCATTCTTTTGAACAGCAAGTAAACAAAAGAATCAAAGCTTGCTTTCTCTGTTTCTTCAGCTTCCATGATTAAAACAAACACAGAAATTCACCATTTCTTACTCTTTTCTGTAAGCTCTGTCCAGCGTGGTTGTTTTAGTGGGTGCTGTTTGCATGTGACTTGTGGAACGAGTCTGTTAAGCTTAAGGAAATGTACGGTACGGGAGGTTTGTTGGATGAGCATGTCGGGTGGAACAGTTTTCTTTTGTGCATACGGGTCAGTTCAGGAGTGTGATCTGTTCCAACTGATGTCGTATATAGACCACATTAAAGAAGAATGTGAATGACCAAACAACAAAATATAAGATTTGGACAGTAATTCAGATATGGGCACTTTTACCTGCAATCTGAATGTAGCCTTCAGATATGGGCACTGAAGTTGTTTGATTTGTTTTTATTGATGAAAAAATCAATGCAACATGAAATTTTAGCTGACAATTGTAATTGACGGTTTAATTGACAGTTTAATTGTCTTTTTTGTTCAATTAATTCATTTACTAAACTACAAGCCTAAAGATGTCAGTTTGGCTGATTTATCTGTCTTTCTTCCTGGGTGACGATACTTGGTAGCTCCTAACAGAAAACAGAAACAGCTTGAGCTCAAATAAACAAAGTTTTCGCACCACTGCGCTCTAAAGGTGCTATAGCACAGAGTCAGAAGTCAGAATAAGACCGTTGACAAATCTCTATGAATGTGTTTTCTACTTTCATTTATTTACAAGTATTTGTCTCTACCCAACAGATAAAACCACAGCAAATTTAATTATGTTTGTTGTAATGTATTTGTACAACATATGTCATTGTGCAAGCTGACAGCTGTGGAAAAATAATTCAAACCAGCTTAAATAGGCCTATTTGGTAACATTTTGAGTCTTACAGTCAAAATTCTGTTACAGTGACAACTCATGCTAGGAATGCACACTAATAGTACCACTTCAGACAGATGTTTAGATTTGACTAATATTTCAAACTAATATTTGACAATTTGTTTATTGTACTCCAGAAAAGCAGGACATTTAGAAGACCCTGGGCTACTGTGCTAAAATGGCTGCATTTTATTAATGTTACTACATATGAACTATATACAACTAAACGTTACGTATGTTACGTTTCTCTGTAATAGTACTCCAGGTAAGGCTAGTCCCAGTTTCTACATTTATAAAAATGTTTGTTGCCATCAGTATTGGCAAATATGTACATAAAAATTTTCCACATTTGTCCTATCAGTGCATCCCTGCTATATGCTAATGCAGACTAATGTATTTAATTGATTTGAATTGGCTGAAAGAGTTTAAGCTGGAACATGCAGGTATGGAGCTGCCATGGTGTGTGCTATCACAGCTGTGCTCCTCGGCTTCTGCTCTACGATTGATGTGTGTGGTGCTACTGTTCTCACACACAAAAACTAAACACTCATAACTGGCTCTGTGGTGCAGGAGCCAATAACTGACACAATACGTTTATTACCTCTGGTTGCAGCCCTTATAGACTACTGTGCAACCAATGTTTCTGACATTGGATAGCTTGTCTTGTTTCAGACAGCGTTCAGCTTTGAACAGATTTGTTGAAGATGCCATAGCAGTTGTTTGCCAGAGTAATTTGAGTTGGTCAGTCCCTCACTCTCTGTGTTTGTCTTTTCCAGGGGGCCGTTTAGTGTGGTGCGCAGATGCATCAACAGGGACACGGGGCAGCAGTTTGCTGTGAAGATTGTGGATGTGGCCAGCTTTACCTCCAGTCCTGGACTCAGCACAGAAGGTGAAATTGCATGCTTAAAGCACACACACATGTTTGTTTTTGTTTGAGTGTGTACACACAGTACTGTATGTACATCTTAGGCACCTAAGCATAATATTTAAAACCTTTTACCTCAGCAGAAAGTGTGTTTTTGCTTATGACAAATACCATATCATTAGAGTAAATACAAATAAACATAAATACAGCAAAGAGTGACAATTGTTTTTCCAAACAAGTAGTTAATACCTTGAGTGCTCGTTTAAAGAACAAATTCTGGCTTCAGATTTTCCTTCAGACCCCAGCCTTCGCGAAGATTTGTTAAACTCAATCACCAGCACACTTGATTTAATGTTTTGAAGTATTGATTAGCCAAACTAGGTATTGGATTATGACTACAAAGGTGCAAATCAGTACTTACTTTATTAATGTTATTTGTATGTATTGTAATGTGTTTCTTCAGAGTAAATAAACACTTACTGCCCAGATAAATAACTTTTTAACTGTCAATTAAGGTGACTGTAAGTATTCATGTCATTTGTCTCTTTAATTGTGTAGGCACTTATATATTTGTGTTATTTTTGTTTCGCTATATTTTTGTGCTGGGGACATATTGAGGTGTGTGTGTGTGCATGCCTGGTATCCTGGGCATTGTCCTGCTGGGTTGGCACTGTTGTGGGTTTTGGCTGCAACACACTGCCATCTGTGAGTGTGTGTGTGTGTGTGTGTCCGGCATGGTCAGGACAGAACAGTGATGGAAAGAAAGCTGGGGGTAGAACTGCACTCTTGTGACAGAAATCAGTGACCACAGTGTTTAACACAGATTTGCAGATTGCATTCCAGGACATATTTCAGGCATATTCCATGGTCCATAATGTGATAATGTGAAGGCTATGAAACAACTGCTCTTATTGCTCAATGAAAGATGTTTGTTGCTGAGCAATTACTGATTGATCATTTGGCACATGATGTGTGTCCTTTTGCTTGTGTGTCACTCTGTATGTGTGAACACTAAGAATGGGACAGTATGAACATTGTCTTATTATAACATCACTGATATCACTAAAACATCATGTTTTTAAAATTTTATAGTAATTCTGTACTGAACTTTTTTCACAAGCTCATTCATCATTTCAGTAAAGGTATTATATTGTACATTATATATTGTATTGTTCATTAAACAGGTAAATTATGTTGATATAATTTTGTTTAAAGGAATAGTTTAGAGAAAAATTCAGTTGTTCACAATTTTCCACTTACCTAAATTGTAGTCAAGCAAGACATGTTTGGTGTCCAAATTTTGCTTCTTTAGCACTGGAGCTACGAGGCTGATGTTTCTAAGAAACACTTTCTTTAGTTCTCAGGAAGTCTTGCTGTGTCCTAAACCATACCAAAAAGTCTGCATGATCTTAATGAAGACCTGCAGGTGGTTTGAAAGAAGTTTTGAAGATGGGGACTGTTGGCTTTTAGTGGTTATCAGTGTTAGCTTTGTAGCTGTAACACTAAAATAAAACAGAAGAAGTTGCACACAAAACATTACCCCATGTGGTAAGTGGGAAATTGGTTTGATTTTTCACTGAACCATTTCTTTGAACTTGTCGTCAGAATTCCTTAGAATTTAAACTAGTATATAGTTTATATATATATATAGTATATATATATATATATATATATATATAATTATATATATATATAATTTTTTCCAGCACTGCTACTGCTTACTATTTACTGTTACTTTTAAAACATACATTGTATTAGTGTGTGCTTTACAGGAAGACTGTGACAGTGGTCTGTTCGCTTCCACCATGATTTTATAAAAAGACAGTTAAAGCCAGTTACACCTGCGTCTTGGGTGATCTAATCATAGGTGGACAGTGCTGCGTAAAGGTGTGAATGGGTTACAGCCACCTATGGGGGTGGTTAGGGTTGCATATTACCTCACATAAATTAAAATGTGAAGTATCTCTTACAGCAACAAAGGACCTTCTAATTACGTCATCACAGCAGAGATGACAACAGCCACTTTGTGTAACTTTGTCTTTTTTCCTGTTTATCTATAAGTTGTGGTCTAAAACAAGAACTCACAGGATATTTTTGTCTGACAACAAGTTCAGTGAGAGCAACATAGTAAATGTGTCTGTTAACCTTCGTCCAGTCAAAAAATCTGACCATAAATGGTCACTTAAGACACATTTGAGATACAAGGAAATGTCAGGTGTAAATAGCTGTACTTCTTGTTGAGACAGATGATCAGATGATAGTAGCTCGTGTGAACAGGGCCTAATTGTGTACGTTAATCTGAATTATTAGAAATCTGAAAAAGGATGATTATCATTTGGTTTTACTGTTCCTTGCCTAGTAAGCACCCAGTGTGAGGGCCTGTGGCTTACAGCAGAGTAATGCCCTCCACTCTGTGTGTGTTCTGTGTCAGGCTGCAGTGTGTGCAGTGAGCCGGGCTGCAGTAGAGGCCGCGGGCTGACTCTTTGTGCAGGATTTGCTGAAGACATACCTGCTTCATTTGTTCTGGATTATGCTAGTTGTCTGGGAACAGGGACTGTCTCCTAGTTACCTGTTGTTGTATGTGTTACAGGTGTTCGAGTGGTCTTGTATGTTGCTGATCCTGGTTGGTGTGTTTGTGTCTCTGGAAATGTTTGTTGGGGCTTCAAAGAACATAGACTAGACTGACTTACATAACAGAATGTGTGTGTGTGTGAGAGAGAGAAAGAGACTAAGAGTGTGCTCGTGTGACCTCTTTATTTGAGTCACTGTGCTAGAAAACTGAGAATGTCTGTGTAGCCTTGATTTTCAGGGTGTCAGTATTGGACAGGAATAATTATGTGTAATTGGGAGCAAGCTTTAATTTAGAGGAGGCATAGATCCTTAAAGGTGAGCTTTTTTTTTTTAATTGCTAAAGAATCCAATAGATGAGATGTAAAGAGAGTTATTTGGAGTGGTTTGCTGTGAAATGGTTTATTGTAAAGAAGCTTAAACTCAAATTTCCTTACAATGATGATGACAAGAACCAGGGGTCACAGTGTCTACAATAGAAATATGTGCATTTTATTTACCATCCAGAATGGAACCTACATGTGTTGGCTGAGTTTTTTATATACACAGAACAAAAATATGAGCACAACACTTTTTCCTGAATTACTAAGAATTCATTATGAAAACGATTTCCCGTACAAGTATCTGGTGTGACCACCATTTGCCTGTAGCAGCATGATGTATTACTATGAAAATTCCTGTTTTTTTTGTCAGACTGCTGCAGAGTGGGAGCGAAAACAACAACAACGTTTTGCATTTGTATTTTTGTTCAGTATTTAATGTTAATAATGGTGAATCAGGAAAAAAAAGGTTTTTTTTTTGGAAACTTTTGCCTTACAGCACCTTGCATCTACCTCTTCACCTCAAGTTTTTTTTCTTAAATATGACAACCATGAAATGATTATTTGTCATATATAAAAAAATGACAGTCATCTATTTTGTTGTCATTTCTTGTTCATTTTTTACTATTGAAATAAAAGCCTAAAGTGGCCACATTGGCTGACTGGCTAACCTTACTTGCTAGCTATGTTTACTTGGTAGCTAATACTGGTTGTGCTGTTAAATCGACACTGCATGGACAAACATCTACAGTTACATAGAATTGTGCGAGTTAGGCTGAGCCACATGGTCTTCGTGAGAATGAAAAAATATGTTTAAAAAAAAACCATTCTGCCAGCAAACATGCTAAAAATGTTAGAATTAGCTACATAACTAACAATTAAATAAACATTACTCGATGCTTCTGTCTAAACATGCTAGAGCGCCAAGATAGAAGTTTTTTTTGTTTTAAACTCAAAGATGCCTCACAATGAATGTCTTTACTGCTTTCTTTTATGTACATTTATTTGCCTCAGCCTGACAAACCCAATTCACATTTTGGTTGTTGAAGCACAAAATGACTGAAATCTTATGACTAGAAAATGATTAGTCAGCTTAAATAATTGCAGTTATCTCAAATAACTGCAATTAGACAGTAGTGACATTGAAAGCGGTTCAGTTTTTTGCATTGTGAGGTGAGGTATTGTAGATACCCGGCAAGAATTTATGATGCATTCAACTAAACTGGCAATAATTTATTTGTTTAAACATTTCTCATAGATGAAGAATGATTATTTCATCTAAAGGTCTTTTTGGTTGAAATTTGTTTTAGGCTACAGTTTTCTTAAAAAATAGAGAAATTAAAACTAATGTAACAAAAGAATACTTGAGTATTCAAATTCTTTGGGCCAGCCCTAGTATTGAGGTGGTGTTTTTGAAGCCCCCAGGCTTTGGTTTTCATGGCTTTAATCTGAGTGCCAAATTGTGATCAGGATGGAGGCCCATGGCCTGGTCACTATAAACGCGTACTTCACAGGGCCACACTTCTCTTCCTCTAGGTAGCACCTCACAGCAGACCTTTACACATGCAATTTTCTGGCATTAATCAGGTCATGGAATGTTCAGCTGATTGGCCAGTGGCCAGATCTGCTGTAAAAATGCATTACACTCCACAGAGTAGTTAATTGCTGCCTTTTCGAAGTTGTGAATATATAATTTTATTTATTTTATTTTTTTTAGGAAAGAGCTGAATTGTATTTCCTTTAATGAAGGAGCACATGCAAGCAGCTCAGCTCCAGCCCTGCAGTGGCACATTGCTCTGTCTCCAGCTACTACTGATGTTTCAGTAGTGCTGCACACTGCTACTTAGCATGCTTTGATGTCTGATTGAAGAAAATACTACAGAGAAGAGAGAATGAAAAGGAGGCCTGAGGTATTTCCTCTCTGAAAACACCATTGTGTGCCAACTGGGTCGCGTAGAAGAACAGTGGTTGAGGAAGAGAGGAGAAGAGAGGAGCAGAGAGTAGTATGATGCAGAGCTACTTGCCTTTTTTGGTTATTTTACTGATGTCTGTCTCAGTGAAAGACTAAGGTCTAATATGAGTCCTCATATTAGACCTGCCCACTTAGCTCTGTCCTCTGTGATGACTTGTTAGACTGTATATTCCTTTATGAAGATATTCAGTATGTCTTTACAGCAGCATTTCTCACTGATAATTTGGTGGTGTGGAGATGTAGTTACGTTACATGTTAGGGGAAGAAAAACCCTCTGTTACTGTCTAGTGTGGGATGCAGCAGTGTGTGAATGGAACAGAATGAATCACTGCTCCCTCTAGCGTTCACTTGGGGTTTAACGGAGTGACGTCAGCCTGTCTGGCTGGAGCACAATGGAACAGTATGAATGTGAATGATGAAGGATGTCATGCAGTCTGTGCTGTGTGCGAATATGAAGCCCACTCAGCAGAATATACTCTCACTCATGATGCTCTCAGCAGTACTACTACAGAAGCACAGGAGATTTCTAGTTTATTAATAACTGAGCAGTGATGGTAAACAGAAGGTTATGTATTTTTAGTTGTTTTGTATTTTATTATGTTCAGATTGGTTAAAGTCATATTAAAAAATGATGTTTGTCCTGTCTTTGTCTCTTTGTAGATCTAAAGCGAGAGGCTAGTATCTGTCACATGCTGAAGCACCCTCACATTGTAGAGCTACTGGAAACCTACAGTTCAGATGGAATGCTCTACATGGTTTTTGAGTTGTAAGTGTGTCTGCATGATAATGCTGGGCAATATATTGTCTGTACCTGGTATACTGATATTCATGTCCCACAGTACTGAGTTTGAGCTTTTGCAGTATTGATGGTTTAATTTTAACTGGTGAAAATACATAAAAAACTAAATAGTAAGCTTTGCTTGTGGAGCAGAGCTTTTCTGTGGTTCATATAGTACTATAGTCATAGTAATTAAGACAAAGTATTATCTAATTTACACAATTTCCTCTAACCTTATCGTTATATTCGATCAGCTGAGGCGTCTGAAATCCAAATTATAATTTTTTGTTGCAGTTGTGAGGCTAACATTGCTAACAAGCACTAGAACTAAATGGTCACCTAAATTGCTCATATAGTTTCCATAAAAATACATCACCAGAACAGACCAGCCTTTTCAGACAACGGGGTCTGTATTTAAAAACCAGCTCATGAGTAGGAGTGCTGATCTAGAATCTGTATTTGTGACAATAACTGTCATAAATGACAAGTTTGCACAGCCACAACTAAGACCTGAGTGAGGTTGTGGCGCGTTAAGAGAAGTTTTGGTGAAAATTTTTACAGAAACAATTTTGGCTGTTTGTGGCATTATTGAGTCTAGAGCTCAGTAGTGACCCAAGTAGCCAAAATTGTTTCTTTTTGTTAGCAACATTAGTCTCACAGCTCCAGTTCTAAACTAAAGAAGGGTAATTTGAACTCCAAACATGTCTTAGCTGATCGACTACATCTGGGGTAAGTGGAAAGTAGTGTAAATTGGATTTACACAATGTCCATTAAACTATTTCTTTAAGGTTTAAAATGTGGTCTAAGGGTTGCTTTGATTTAACTTTAAGTAAGGCAGAACCAAACCAAAAAAATAGCTTTGTCTGGTTTGTGTGACACTTAATGCAAACTTGAATATCGCCTTATAATAATACTGTGATATATCTGGAAAATATCACTAAATTGAATTTTATCAATACAGCCAGGCACAAGGACATGGCTTCATTCATGATGAAGTTTAAACACATTGTAAAAGGCAGCAAGCATTTTTAAATTCTGTAGAAAAGAAAATGTAGGACGAAATGGATAGGAGCGATAATGTGTTTTCCTTTCTTGCTCTTTTTCTTCAGTATGGATGGAGCAGATCTTTGTTTTGAGATTGTGAAGAGGGCAGATGCAGGCTTTGTGTACAGTGAGGCTGTGGCCAGGTACGTCCCCATCTGCCAGGCTTAAAGGAAATGCTCTCTTCCACTTTATTCACCACATTTTTTTCTGAAAGACTAAGTGGTAAGAAAAATTAAATGTGCTTTATGATGCTTTCTTTTTCTTTTGTTTTTTCTTTCCTTTCTTTCTTCTCGCTTGTTTTTTCTTCTTTTCTTTCTTTCTTTCTTTCTTTCTTTCTTTCTTTTCCTTTTTCCTTCTGTCTGTCTCTCCACTTTCTCAGCCACTACATGCGTCAAATATTGGAAGCACTGCGTTATTGTCATGACAACAATGTCATTCACCGAGATGTGAAGGTAAGACTTCGCTTGTATGAATCATTGATATCCGAGCACTCATTATTGTAACCCCTTAAACCTTTAAGAGCTTCTTTAATGATCTTCATGTTTGTCTTTGTCTTTAAACAGATTGGGTTATCACAAAACCCTACATTTCATTATGTTGAGTAATAAAAGTAACGTTAAAAAAAAACATAACATTGAAAAATTACAAAGTTTGTGTTTTAAGTCAACATTTTTGAAGGAACATGTATTGAGGATAAATGAACCTCTTGTTCTTTGTTCAGTAGAGGTACTTCTAAATTGTTTATTCACAATGCATCAGGCTTTATTCATTCATAATGGCTTGTATTAGTAAATAATTGGAGGTATGTTTTGTGAAAATCACTAGTAATTGCTTTATTGTTAACAATGCCCAATAAACGCTATAAGACATTGTTGTGGAGTTGGGCAATATGGTGATATTTTATCATTATCGTGAAAAATTGTCACAGCATGCTTTTCTGAGCATATTGTGGATATCATCAGTATTTAAAGAATACTGACTAAATACATGTTTCATTACAAAGTGAGCATAGTAAGGCCTGTTTAATTGGATTTAGTGCAGTTAAATTTGTACAACGTAGACAAAATCGTTGTAGTTGAAGGTTTATTATTGGTTTTTAAACATGGCACTACAGGTTCTATTTTGACTGTTCCAGCTTATTAAACATCACAAAAACTAAATATTTTGATACATTTTGTGTGTTGTGTATCATGATACAATATCTTTGCCAGATCGCTTACCCCTTTTTTGTTAGGCGAATCATTTTTTCCTGCCTCTGTAAAGCGACATTGGCTTTGTGAAAGGCGCTATATAAAGTGAACTTTATTATTATTATTATTATTACCTTTGAGTGTGAAGTAAAGCCTTATTCAAGCTGAATTAGTTTTACTAGAGGAGGTCCAGTGTGTGTGATTTGACTGGCTGATTTGTACAGGATAAAGATGTTTACTAATTTTCTCCCCAGTTTAGTTGTATCCAGTTCCACCCACTAGTTAGTACTTCCCCCGATCACACGGTACCACCAGCCCTAAGAGGGCGATGGGAGACACAAGCTTTCTCTGAGTTGTGTGAAGCCAGCAACGGCATCTTTTTGAACTGCCACTAACGCAGTGTTGTTGGACAGCTGAACACACTTGGAGGAAAAGCGCTAACCACCAGTTCTGTTACGTCAGATAACAGATGCCTGTGGTGGCTAGCATTGCACTGAGTGATGGTGTGAGAAGGTTGGCCATCCTGCCTACCTAGAGAGAGCAAGGCCAGTTGTGCTGTCTTGGACTCCTGGCCATGTATAGCTGTAGCATCACCAGGGATTGAATTCGTGATTTTTTCACTTAGACGGTCGCACCACCCTGGAGGCTTGCGTCCTGTATTGTTAAGTAAAGATCAATTTATCACTTTATGGTAGCCCAATACGTATAAGAATATTTTGCGTTAGATTCAACTCGTTTTTTCAACTCTCTTTTAAGTTAGATTTTAACAACCAAATACTAATAAATTGAATTCTTTCATGGAGAATTTTTTGTGTTTTGCTGACCAAAATATCATAAAGTATTGAATTTTTTGATGCAGACTGACTTGTTTAGGCACTTTTAAGTCTCTAATTAGTGAGGACTAAAACTGCTTTAAAGCACTTTTAAACATTAGTCACTTATTAAACTTTTTGTGGCTAGTTATTCTTTAAAAAGATGTGATTTTAGGTAATCAATTCATACCGAATGACTTGCATAACAAGGTCAAGTATTTATTTTGCATTATTACAACTAATAATGATGTAATAACAACTGCAAATTTACATAACCCCCAGTTATGTACCAATACAGCTCATGATGACTAAAAGCTTAATGCGTAATAAGACCATTTTCTTTACTGAAGAAAGAGCAATGCCCTAATAAACCCCTGATATATGTTCCTTATTTGCTTCTTGCTAGGTGCACTTTTTCTGTTGCTGTTCAGTTGCTTGAACAACTGCTGACTATGTGGTTTAGCTGTGTATATGTGCTTCCGCAAATGTTGCCATGGCTGAATTTTTTTTTAGCATGTTGATTGCAAAATGGGAAACCACATTCTTTTTTGGTGGTTACCTTTTCCTTTTTTGTTGACCTTCACATTTTGATCTTGAGTGTAAAATGTGTTAAGATGGCTACTGAGTGTCATATAGATGAATATCAACCCATATCATACCGTTCTGTGTGTTTGTGTTTTGATGCACATAGTTTCACAGGATTGCACAGTGTGCACTAGCGTAGAACAGTTTGCTTGGATAGCAAGGAAGTCCCCTTCTAATGAGACATTTGTGATTAAAGTGGGATTACTGTCAGAGACCCGCTTCAGGGCCAGGACAGATGGACGGTTGGGCTCCTTTTGCACACTGGACACAGACCCACTCCATCTTCTCTGATCAATTGCTTTAGTCTGACAGGCACAAATGTGGAGTCATGAGGGATTAAAAGGCTTTTGTATGTGCATCAGTGTCTGCAGTGTCTGCAGCTTGGAGGTCTGACAGTCTGTCTTATGGATTGGTACATTTGATTTTAAGGTCTGTATTAGGGATGAAAATGATTAACCAGTTACCTACAAATAAAGAATTGTTCAACCAGTGCTATTGGTTACAACACTAATTTTTTTGTTTTCATTGTCAATACACAGCAGGTCATATTGGCAATTGGTTCTGCTACACAAACTTAGTAAAAAAAAAAGTAAGCATGCAGCTAAATATAGTGGTGTCCATTACCAGTTTTTCAAGAGGTTGGTAGCACAACTATAGCAGTGTACTACACCTTAACCAAATGGCTGTAAGCAATAAGTCTGAGAGAAAGTGTGATGCACAACGGTGCAAGAAAATCACACATGGGTGTGCAAATACAGAGAAGGTTGTGGTGGATGCTGACAGCTTTTGAGAGCCACTGGCATATATTGAGCCAAAGCTGGTCACAGTCATGATTCATTTTTACTTGGACTATTAATGACTGGTAAATAGAACTTCGGAATGCAGAACTTTCAGTTGCCCATCGTTACACTCCAGTCATTTCATCAGCTTTTTAGTTTTTGGTCATATAATCATGAACTTATTATAGTTGTCAGCCCCTTAGTTTAAACAAAACCAGGTTCTTATGTAGGGTATGTTTAATGCAGTTTTAGGCCATTTAATGTATATACAGGCTTATACCTGGCGCCAACTATCAGTATTATGAGTACCTGTCCATAGAAGTAACACTTCTGGTGCATTAGTACAGGATTCAGTTCATTTGTCCACTAATAGGAATGCATATATCAAGTATTTTAGAATTAACTGGAACTATCCATGTTGTAATTGACATTTTGATGGACCGCATCCTTGATTATGTGGAAATGGAAATGTCCCCCAAAAAAATCAATAATGTTCCTTATAGTATACAATAGTCATTTTGATCTGTGAGAGTCATGATCTCTGATCTGCTGCGTTCTCACTGCATTAGGTTACTTATTAGCTTTGGCAAGTGTCCACAGCTGTCGCTGACTTCCTTCTTCATGATGAACTGGATAAACACTCATTCAATAAATTTTCAGCTTTTTAATTTATTTTTTTTTTTTTAGAACAAATGTCTTACTAGAGAACAGATGTCTTATTTCCGAGGAAACATCTCCCTCCACCATCCATCTGATCACAAGATATTACAAAATCCCAGTGAAGCATAATCATTTCTTTGCTATTTCCTTCATGCTGAGGATGTCTGGTCAGAGACGCTGGCCCTTTGATTACCGGGAGCAACCTCACTTCATGTCTTTCGGATGGAGGGATTGGGAGCGGATGGTGGTGATGAGCCCGATGCTTCCGCGGGGTGTAGCCAGCACAGTGGTGGAGGCCTGAGACACAGATGTCTTGCGTAACTCCGTGGTAGAACTGTTGATGACAGCGGCGGTGTCATGCCTCACACGGAATACCCGGGACACGGCTTTGACTGTGGCCTTGCGCACCGAGCCTGAGAGCATGAAGTACATGACTGGGTCTAGGCAGCTGTTGAGTGCGGAAAAAAGAAGCATGACCTCATTGGTTCGATCTACGAGGCGGCGTGTTTCGCAGGATGTCTCGCTAAGCTGGGACTGGATGTAGAAACCCCTGAAGGAATGGTAGGGCACGAAGCAGATGGTGAACAGAAACAGCACCACAAAGGACTTCTTAGCTGTACGGCTATAGCGCATAGCATTGGGCAGGTCTGGTTTGTCACGAGATGCCCGCAGTAGGCGCCAGGCGATCCGCCCGTATGAAACCACCAGTAGCAAGAACACCATCCAGAAGACGGCCACCAGGAGGAGGTTGAAGTAGGCCTTGCCCCGGGCCTTTGTGCGTGTCTTATACTGGAAGCACTTTCCCTGCTCCTCGTTGCCCTCAGCCAGAGCGATCATGGGCACCACAGCCACCAGAGACACTGCCCACAAAAATCCACACACTGCTATGCTCCAGTTGCTGCCCTTCAGCCAGCGCCGGCAGCAGGCTACCCGCACCCCTTGTATCTTTATGTAGCGGTCTAGGCTGATGAGGCCAAGCAGTGTGATGCTCACATACATGTTCATGTAGAAGAGGTTGCCCACCACCTTGCACATGCGTGGGCCCAGTGGCCAGTGGTTGCCCAGCGTGTGGTAGAGGATGCGAAAAGGTAGGCAGGCCACCAGTACGAGGTCAGCCAGGGCTACGTTGATGAGGAAGACCCGGACAGAGTTGTGGCGCGAGTGCAGGAAGAAGAAGACCCACAGGGCTAGAATGTTACCCAACAGGCCAAACAGGAAGAGGAGGGAGTATAAGACGGCAAAAGGCACTTGCAGGGATTCTTCCTCTAAAGAACATGATTGGTTGATTTCTGAGGCCATAGGCAGAATGAAAGACATGTTTGAGAGTACACTAGTGAAGTCAGAGTTGGTCATTCCGTATGTGTTACCTTCCCTTTTTGGAATCGTGGATTCATATATAGAAGTAATCATGCAGCTTATTTTTTCAGCCCTGTAGGAGAAAGGAGAGAAATCGTTTCAATTTATGGCTTTGTCGAATGAGAATTTTTTGCCCTAATGAAGGAGAAAGCAAAAGAAAATACTGGCTCTCCCATAGCAGGTTCTCATCCAGACACCAGTGCAGAGGACCATAAACTATGCCTAGGCATAAATCCCAGATTCCCAGTAGCATACACACTTGCACTGCATGTTCACATGCTTCGTCTCTTCCCAGCCATTCCACTCTCCTCCTTCCAGTTTTCCATTTGAAATATATATTTATATTGGATCATTTAACTTTGCTGAACGATTCAAAAATTCATGTGTTTGGGGAAGGTTGGCGAGTACTTCATTTGGAACTTTGCTTTATTAAATCCATATGTAGAATCAGATATTATGTGTTTATGAATGGCCCCAATGCTGTACTAAGAAAGAGCAAACCAGCAATTTTACAATCATGGTGCGTTGCTTGTTTCTGCTGACAAGTAAGAGACTTCACATGCTTTTTGTTTTGCCTTGTTTAAAGATTTTGTGTTCATGCTCTCAACTAAGGATGCACCATTCCTCTCCCACATTTATAATTATTACATATAACATATTTATAATTATGTGTCACTTACCCTTCATGGCAGAAACAGCAGTTGTTTCCCTTTGCGTCTGTGTGTGTGCTTGCCTGTCAGTCTTTTTCCGGGCAGTTTTGCTTCTAATCAATTTATTTCCAAGTATTCCAAAGATTCTTTTCTCCTCTTGTCAAGGTTCTGGGATTGGAGCTGTATGTGACAGATCGATCTCTCTCTCTCTCTCTCTCTCTCTCTCTCTCTCTTTCTCTCTCTCTCTCTCTCTCTCTCTCTCTCTCTCTTTCTCTCTCTCTCTCTCTCTCTCTCTCTTTCTTTCTCTTTTTCTTTCTCTCTCTTTGTCTTTCTGTGTCTCTTTCTGTCTTTCTCAATCTTTCTCTTTCTCTCGGTCTGTCTTTGTCTTGCACTCTTCTGCTGGTTGTCCTTCCTTCTCTCTGTCTGAGAGTGCTGCTGTGTTGTCTCACTCATAGAGGAAGGGGGGAAAAATGCAGATGAAGACAACCACGAACAAAAAAAAAAAAAGTGGTCACATTTTGAACAGCAGTTGAAAAGCTTGTGAAGGTTATACACAGCACTCTGGTCTTAATAAGAAAATAGTGAAGCATGATTTTTTTTTACATGCTAAAATACTAACAATAAAAGGCTGATAAAATAAGAAATAAGATGTGCTTAAGTCAAACTTAGTCATGCTTACATTCGTTAGTGTTAAAATGTCAGACGTTGCGTCGGTTCAGATCTAAACGTCCCTCAATCTTAAAGCAAAGGTCAAGCTGTACTTACCACATATGTGCTTACCAATATGAGTAAGTATACATACATACCAGGAGTTTCTGTGAATGTGTGTGTTGCTTATACTATATATATCTATACAACATTGTTGTGGCACTCGGGGCATATCTATTGCGTTTAGCTCCTCTGGACCTTTTGTGTGTCAAGTCTGAATGTGATTGTTGAATGCTGCTTTTGACTTTTTTTGTAATGTCTCTGTCTATGTGCTAGTACACAAGTTTTGGAAAGTTTCTTTTTTAGAAGTGCTAATACAGGATGATTCTAGCTGATTGCACTTAATCCTGTATTCCAGTGTCTGATCGATTAATTGATGGTTAGTGGGTTTTAATGTCTGAAAGCTAAAGATTGCATTTAGAACAAAGTTATTGACAACTAGGTTTATGAGAACAAATTGCACTATAGTTACAAAACAGGAGCTCTCTAGAAGGCTTTATATTATTCATATGATACATCTCATCATTCTGACAGATTGCAGTACACAATGACAGGACTGCTTTTATAGTTTGTTTGCACCATAACTTAGTCTGTGACTTGTTGATTGAACTTTGATGAACTTTGATGTTATGTTGGTGCTGTAATGGGGGTTAGAGGTTGCCATTAGTCAATTAATCAAATGAGTAGTTGGTAGACTATTCAGAGAAATAATTGCTGGTTGCAGCCACCAGTTGAAGCAAAAGTTTGAACACCCATTATTTTCAAAGTGAAAGTAAGTTAAGTAACTAATGCACTAATATTAGTGCACAATTTCTGTTTATTTGCAGAGTTTAACATATTAGAAAGAATATAAAACATTTAAGATTTTTCCATAATGTTTAACCTTTAATTTAACCAGGTATTCATTAAGAACGTATTCTTATTTATTTATTTATTATATTCAATGGTGCATTAAAAAGTGAAAAATAGTGTGTTTGATGTAAAAATGTGTTTCTTATTTTCACTTTCAGAAAATAAATGAAACATGTAATTTGGCCAGCCGTGCACAAACTGTTGCATACGACTTTTATGTTTTGATCTGGATATCAGATATGCATGATGTGTAATAGGAGGGTGAAATGTTTAAACAAAGTGAAATGTTACGTTTTGCCTCATGTTGTATGTGAATGCATCACATTTCATCCATTTTACTTGTTTCTTTCCTTTCTGCTGCAGCCTCACTGTGTGCTCCTGGCATCAAAAGAAAACTCCGCTCCTGTCAAACTGGGTGGCTTTGGGGTAGCCATTCAACTGGGCGAGTCTGGCCTGGTGGCTGGAGGTGGGTGTCTGTGTCTGTCTGTGTCTGTCTCTGTGTCTTTGCGTGTGTTTGTAGTCTGGGGAGGGAGGGAGTTCTGCAGACTGAAGTGCTCTGATGTGTAAATAAACTTTGTGGTCTGCATCTTCAGATGAGAATGTGGTCTCAAGGCATCTCACACTTTGAGTCTGTATTACCAAAATACAGTTGTATGCAAACGTTTGGACACCCCAGTCTAATTACATGTTTTCTAAGTGAAAATAAGCTAACATATCCTCTACAAGCTAAAAACTTAAATATGCCATTTTTCTACATATTTTAATGCACAATGTCTAGTTTTTTTCCCACAATGTTTAATTCAGAAATCACAAATTAACGGTAATAGTGTATTAAAAAATATACAGAACGTTGTTCTCTGTAGAGGATGTGTTACAAAATTGACAGAACATGTAATTTGACCAGCATGTTGTCACAATTATTACATAATTGCCTTGTTGTAATTATTTCAGATGATTGCAATTATTTAAACGGTCAGTTTCCACAGTTGTTAGATTTCAGTCATATTATGCTGCAACAAAATGTGAACTGAGTGTGGTGCGTTGAAGCAAGTAAATATCAATAAAATAAATCAGTACAATATATACATGCATTGAGACATCATGACAACACAAAAAACATTTTTGACTTCTATCTTGGTGTTCTTCTAACATGTTTAGAGGGTGGCTCGAGTAATGGTTGTTTGGTTGTTAGCTGTGTAGCTAATTCTGATGTTTCTAACATGTATGCTGGCAGAGTGAGTGTTTGTATTTTCACATTGCTTTTAACGCTAACAATAATTCTGTGTAGCTGTAGATATTTATGTGAGTGTGTTGTTGTGAACAGTACAACGAGTGTGACCTACTGTGTAAGAATAGCTTGGCAGTAAGGTGGCTAATCAGCCAATATGGCCCCAAACATTTGAATACGACTGTAGACAAACCAGCATAATTCACTTGATTTAGTCATTCTCTCTCTCTGTGGATAGGTCGGGTGGGGACTCCTCACTTCATGGCTCCTGAGGTGGTGAAGAGGGAGCCGTATGGTAAACCTGTGGATGTGTGGGGATGTGGAGTTATTCTCTTCATCCTGCTCAGTGGCTGCTTACCCTTCTACGGTACCAAGGAGCGCCTGTTCGAGGGCATCATTAAAGGGAAATACAAGGTAGTAGTTTATTTACAAAACGTGCAGATCTTACTAGAGCAGGTTAACTAGACCTTTGATTTACTTCTTTTCAAAGTCAACCTGAAATATAAACTGGCCTTTTTACCTTGTTAGTTCATCTCCCTCATCATATTAAGCATGATTAATCATATTTAAAAGACAAATTCTTGTTTTCCTGGAATCTTCCATCCTTCTAAAACAACTTTTGATTTTGATTTTTGGCTATGACATTATACACCTGTGCATGGAGAAAATGTTATCAATCAATAATATACTATTTTCCTTGTGGTACAGAATAATAATGCGTTAACCAATTCAAGTTGACTTTAACAGAATGTTAATCAACATGGCCCGATTTAGTTCAGTTTCAATTTGTATTGAAATCATTTTATTGCTATTAGAGATTGAGCTGTATCTGTTTAGAGTGAGCAGGTCTAATGGGTTTTGCCTGGTTGTACAGCTTTTTATTTATTTTCGACTGGCAGCCTCAAAGTGGGCTCCATGCCCAAATCCAAGCTTTACCAGGTGCATAAAAACCAAAAGGAAAAACTTAAAATAAATGCAAAAAAAAAAATGAAAATAAGTGCAAGGCTTAACATTGACAAGAGCCCGGTAATAGGGGCAATGCAGTTGTCTCAAAAGGAGTTGTGTGTGTGCGATGTGCATTAGATGAACCCTCGACAGTGGAGCCACATCTCTGAGAGTGCTAAAGACTTGGTGCGCCGCATGCTGATGTTGGACCCTGCTGAAAGGATCACTGTCTACGAGGCCCTCAATCACCCCTGGCTTAAGGTGAAATATCAAAACAAAGACGTGCACACTCTCAACCATTTCTGACTAAATAAGCTATAAACGTACACGGGAATACTAATATATACGTTATATGGCCAAAAGTGTGTGGACACCCAACTGTCACACCTGTTTGAGCTTGTTAGACATCCTATTCCAGAATTATGTTTATTAATATAGTTTGACCCCCCAACTCCCCACCGTTTTACAGTAATAGCACTTATAGTTGGCTGGGGCAGAAATTTCGCAAATTGACATGTGGCAGAGGTGACTATGACAGTGCTACCGAGTGACTTAGCTCTTCAGTATGACCCATTCTGCTGCTAATGTTTGTCTATGAAGATTGCATGGCTATGTGCTTGATTTAGCAATGTTAGCAATGGGTGTGGCTGAAACACCTGAACTCAATAATTTTGAGGGGTATCCACATATTTTTCATAAAATGTATGTGTGTTTGTGTATGTGTGTTATGTGTGTGTGTTACGTGTGATTAGAGGTCTGCACGGGCCGTTGGCCTGAAGGCTCCACCATCTCTGTAAGCTTCAAGAGTTTGCGTGTTGTTCATGTGATCAGTTGCTTTGCAGCTCTTTAGAATGATCATTTAGAATTATCATGAATTTTCATTTTATACTGTTTATATATATGATTTAGTGATTGTTCTACTTTATTCAGGCTATTCATTAATTTGCGGGATTCTCTTTATGCTTTGGTCTGCTCCCACCTACAGTGGGCTGGTTTCCCGCCCACTCCCGTGTGTAAGACTGCAAAGTAATTCCACACCACAGGATATCATGGCGGGTCCCATGGGTCCTGTGGTAATCCGTGGGAATGCAGACCTCTACTTGTGATGTTTTACGTTAATTAGAGCTTAATAGAGATTACATTTTTGAATATACATCATGTAATTTTGATTTTTCTTCTCTAAGATTTTTCATTTGTGCAGTCGTATTTATTTAGACTTTACAGATTTTGTATTTATCATTATTGTAAAGGAGAGGGACCGCTATGCCTACAAGATCCACCTACCTGAGACAGTGGAACAGCTGAGGAAGTTCAACGCCAGGAGGAAGCTAAAGGTTTAATGTTTAGCTTTTTTACTTTACGCAAAATACCGATTCGCAATTTATATACGAGGTCAGATTACAGACCACTTCTTTATGCATGGTTTGAATCACCCAGCTAGAGAAGTGAATTGAAAAACTTATGGACTTTTAAAGTAGATACCTGAAAATCATCACAGTGATTGACTTTTGGTAACCGTTAAAACGAAGAACCTCAGAGTTGCAGAGCATGGTAGCAATCAGCCATTTTAGGTCAAAGTCTGTCTAGTTCTGCTTCAGAGTCTAGGTGTTAGCCACATAAAAGCAGGTCGTGGTTGTATTCTCAGACATTAGGCGATTGAGACAAATGAAAAACAAGCATGCATCCGTTAAAACCTGAAGGAATGAGTATGTTCATAATCTTTTAGCTTGGGCAAAGGTGAACTTTGGTTTTATGTGGGGCACGTCAGTAGTGGAAATGTCAGACACTGAGACATGACAGGTTTTAGTGGTGCTTCTCTGCTAATAAGAATTCAGTTTTTTTTTCCTCCCAATATTATTGCTCAAATCCTACAAAACATCTTGAGGAATGCATTATTTAGCATTTTTACATAAATAGAGGAGAGTGGGAATTTATTTATGCTTCAGAATAAACAATGTCAGTGAAAAGGGGCTGCATTAAAGATATTTATTTTGGACCACAGAGCTGAACAGAAAACATGATAGAATTGAAATATGTATTTACAGGACATCTATGGTAGTTGATTAAATAAAAAGTTCCAAAAAACAATTTTTTTAACAAATGTTTTAATTTCATTTTTAATTTAGCGAGCAACTCTTGTTGTCTGCTTCGGGAGGCTAGTTGTAACACCAACTACATGTGTGTGTTACAACTAAATTAAACACACTGTGTGGAGGAGGTACTTTACCATCAATAGGATGATTAAAATAAAATGCTAAATTTATATAATCGGAGTGAATCTTTTGATTTATGCACACAACTCAGCAATCAAAAAACACCAGTGATGGAAAGAAAAGTTGCTTTCATGGTATAAAATAATCTTCTGGTTGAATTTTGACAAATGTCTATGTGATTGCTTTGCAAATTTGCTAATGTTGCTAAGGGAATATGGGAAGATTACCAAAGCATGTTCTACTTGAACCTGTTTTACCTCTGAAATAAAAAAGAACAACTTATATTTCAGTCCAAGTTAGGTGCCCCAATCCTTCTTGACCCTCCTAAAAAGTATCCCCTTCTTTTGGACGAAAACAAAATGTTATTGATATAATACCTCTACTACTGCTACTACTACTCCTACTACTACTACTACTACTAATAATAATAATAATAATTGCTTTTATTATTACTATTATTATTATTATCAAATATAGTCTGTGTCAGATCATTAAAAGTTGTAGAGCTGATTTTTGTTTTTGTTTGTTTTTTTTTGGTGCAGGGGGCAGTGCTGGCTGCTGTCTCCAGCCACAAATTCAACTCTTTCTATGGTGACCCCCCAGAGGAGCTGCACGATTTCACAGAGGACCCCACATCCTCAGGTAAGACCTCATGCCTACTTCTGTTACTGCGAGATCCAGTCTTATGTTTGATTTTGCATATTTAGTGTGCGTTGATTAGCCTAGTTCCACATATGCATTGTTCCTTTCAGGTGATTTACACATCTCAGGATTGTTTTTTAATGTCAATACAATACGAGTCAGTCATATGTCACATTTAGCATACATGTGAGAAGGACTACTCAAGCTGGATTAGTTTCGCCGAAGAGCTGTACTTTAATTTGTAAGGAATTTGACTGGTCGATTCGTACAAGATAAAGTATCACTGACTAAATTACCACAGCCTGGATTAAAATGACATAACCCTGATGTACATGTCAGTGTTGTGACAGCTTGCACGCTCAGTAACAGTAACATCAAGGTGCAGATCTGTGTTAATCAGACTTTAGTATTACTTTACTGTGTGTTAGATTTTAATAGTTGTACTGTTACTGAAGGAGCTCCGTGTTCAACGGCAAACAGGTGGTCATTAACTCTTATTATTTTATAATTTAGACATGTAAGAACTATAGACATTGCAGGCCCATAATGGATTGAAATCTCATCACTTAGATGTTAGTACCATTCCAGGTTAAACTAATCCAGCTCAACTAGGCACGTTGTCTGTGCTCCATTGTTAAGACTACCTAACAGACTTAGGCTGCAGCGTTCACTTTTAGTGGGTAAGAAGCTGAAACCATTTACTCCATTATGTATTTTGCCTGTGGTGAAGTTGCATGAACAGTCTGTTTATAGTAACCTACAGTGAGGATAAAGCTTGCCACATATTGTGAAATAGCTACCACTTCCCTGTCTGAAAGACCAACTTTCACATCCTGATGTTGCTAAGGGGCAGAGGGTTAGAGGGATGTTGCCATTTACAGTGGCGTCTAGTGCTGTGCAACATGGATAAAATTCCGTGTCACACAATCAGTTTTCGTAATATTATGGCATGTTTTTATCAGATGATATTTAAGCTTACATTAATAAAGTCCTGCTTCATGAATGCTTGTAGTTTATGCTAAAACAGGTTTCAACATAGCTGTCTTAGCTTGTTTTAATTGGACTTTTTTTTTTGTTCTGTTCTACTTCTCTCAAAATTTCTAGAAAGGAAACTTTCTATTTTTTTTTACTTTTAATGTTCTTTCAGAACAATCTGATGCAACCATATAAGTTTTTGTTATCTCATCAGTGCTGAAAGTAGCAGATGATATATTGTTCAGTACTAGTGGCTCTTGAGCCGATCTTAAGCCAAACACCGACTAGCCTTTTAGAAATCAGCTCAAGCCAGGTTTTGCCACAGGATATGGGAACTGGTTAAATTGTTCAATGTCATGCGTTTGTCCCTTAGTCTGGGGGTGGGGTTATGTTGGCCACAAAACTTTTCAAACAAAAATTTCAAACAAGAAGCTGGCGAATAAGAAGCTTACTTCAGCCTTGTATTTTTACTTCTGGTAGTGTTTTTTATTAAGGAGGGTTAAGTTGTCAAAACATTCTACCTAAAGTTTTATGTATGGAGCAACCTATGAATACATGCTATGGTAAGACTTTTCAACAAGACAGCACAATTCTCCTCTACACCACGGAAAACATGTACAAGAGTAGGTAACACCGAAAGCTTTAGTTTACATTATTGACAAGCTATTAGCAAGTAAGAGGGTGATAAAAGGGTGATGGTCACGAAAATACCTCAAGATTTGAGGTTTTGCCCACTTTTGCAGCAATTTTCTGTCTGCATGTTCTGTAGACAGAACATTCAATCAAGTTTCTCCTCTGCACTCTTATAAAAAACAAACTACGACCACACTTGAGAGCGCGTGCCATGTTTTCACTGACACAAAACACATCCACGTTGCGGGCTGCGCCTGCATATCTGCATCTGGAAGACTGTTGCTTACTTTGGTTGATGCCGGACAGTTTTTATGTGAATTTTTCAAAGCGTGCTAATCAACCATGGTTTTAATGATGATAAGCATTTGAAACGGTAATACTAAATGTCAGGAATTTTACTGTCGTTTACCATGAAACCATACCATTCAGGAGATTAAGTCTGTAACTGAACAAATGCAACTGGCTGAGTTGTGTCTATTTGCTAGCCTGTGTGCTGTTGTACGATGGAGAACAGTTGTATGTTACTTCACAAAAGTGCATAATTTTCACCTTCCAAGTAGGAAAAAAAATCAGAACCGGAACCATAACTAAACCACTAAATTATAAAGGCCTAATCAATCAAATGCTCAAAAAAAACACCTAAAAGAGTTGAAATGGACCCTGTTTCAAAAAAAACATCATAGTGTTAATTACTGACACTGTACATTATCTAAATTATTAGGCAGAGGGTACAAAGTGATAGCCGCTCTTTCAAACTGCTTACGATCTTCTGTGCTGTAGTGTTTTTTGTGAGGTCATACCAGATGCCAAGATTGTAATCACCCAGAATCACATTTTTCCCACTGAGAAATATAAATGCTTAGGATTTAGAGTCCAGCAGAATGGTGCAGAGCTGAGTTCTGTTTGTAGAAGTCAGCACTATTTATTGAAGAAAAATTGCATTAACCGACAACTGACAAGTTGGTGTTGTCACAAGACCACTGCACATATGGAGAACATGTGTGGGGTTATGTGGGTGGTCAGGGGTCCAAGTTCAGTATGTTGTGAAGGTGTGTGTATGTACATACAGTGCCTATAAAAAGTATTTACTCATTATTTTTTCATGTGAATGGTCTTTTTTTGACACTGATCAATATTAAAAAGACTCTTAATGTTAAAGTGGAAACAAATCTCTACAAAGTAATCTACATTTATTGCATACCAACCACAAAATTGAAAATACTCACCTCCTTCAGGACAGTTGTTTTTGTAGAGGCACTTTCGGCAGCAACTACAGCACTCAGCCTGTGTGGATAGGTCTCTGTCAGCCTTGCTTATCACTGCAGGTTTTCCCTCATTCCTCTTTGTAAAACTGCTCAGACTATACTAGCAGATAATTGGTTTTAAAAAATTTTTGGATGTTTAGATTTGAGTGATATTTCAAACTGATAATCGATGGCATGTGTATCTCACACTGGGCTACTGTGTAAAATGCCTGAATTTTATGCATTTTACTGCTTGTGCAGTCTTATACTGCCCTGCAATCTAACTGTTATTTTTCTCCATAATACTAATCCAAGTAGGTGTAGTCCCAGTTTCTACCTTGTACAAATCTATCAGCAACAGCAGATGTGTGTGCATTTAAAGTATCGGATATTGGCACTGGCCCACATTTTCCATATTCCATATTTTCCATATCCCTTCTTAGTATAATGGCCAGGTTCAGTTTTTGTCTCATCAGACCGTATAACCTTTATTAGAACTTTACTTTAGAGACTCTCCCGTGCCTTATGACATACTATGGCTGTGTTTTTTTTTGTTTTTTTTTCTCTGCCAGTCCATAAAGCTGTGACTGGTAAAGCACCCAGGCAACAGTCTCTCTCATTACAGCCATGAAAGCTGTTGTAGTAATCTAGACCTCTGTTACAAGTGCCTTTCTTGCATGGTGACTCAGGTTTGTAGAACACCCTGCTTTAGACAGATTTACATCTATAATGTAATACTTCATTTTTTTTTATGATAGACTTGTACTGTTTTATGGGGGACACTCAAGGGGCTGTTCCAGTGGTGATTAACATGTGTCATCATGTTATGTGTCATGTTGGTTATTTTTTGTTCAATAATCACAATAAATATAGATAACTGAAAAAAACTTTGTGTTCACTTTAATGTTAAAGAGTCTTTATCTGTTGTCAAAAAGCCTGGCTACATCCACTGCTTTAAAACAGTGACTAATGGAAAAAGTCCAAGAATGGTAAATTACTTTATATAGCCTGTGTATGTATGTGTGTTGAGAATGATTAATAGCAGTGGGCTTTATGCTTTGGCCCCTTGTAGAATGTAGGCTGCTTGCCAGCATCATGTGTTTGTATAGAGATCTTTGGCTTTACAGTTCTGTCTCTTTCTCTGGTGTTTCTTTCTTTTTCCTCTCTTCATTTGTGTGTGTTTCTCTCTACTCTCTTGTGTCCAAACTCACAGTATGTCATTTGTTCTAATGCTGCCCTCCCTGTAGGATTGCTTGCTGCAGAAAGTAGGTATCCCACGGAGCCTGACATCATCACAGTCTTCGTCCTCTTTTTATGTCACTTTCTCACTGTATTATTCCTGTCCATATGTGCATTTACCCCCTTTCCATCCAAGCTATTTCCATGTCCTGGCTTCCCTGGGCTAAGGCCCAGCACTTAACCCAGCTGCATGTGTGATTATGTTAACATTTTCAGTTCCTGGTTTCATATCAGTCATTTCAGGCGATAGCTGTCTGTTCCTGTGCACTGACCTTTCTGTGTATATTTTTTTTGTCGAGCACATTATTAATCATGTAATTTATTATTATTTTTTTTACCTGTTTCAATCTGATTCCACTATTTGAATCGAAAGGAATCGGTTTCACTGGTCTCGTGGGGCTACATGTGATCAAGTAATACGATTGTCTGGGAACAACTGAGTATGAATTTTCTAAATCAATGTTTCTTAAACTGTGTGTTTCTGCTGCGTCAACACATGATGGGGGATGTTTGTCAGGACATTTTGCCTGAGTGTGATATGTGTGGTCAGCTTAAGGCCTTTTAGTCTGCATCAAATTACAGACAGAGCCAGTTATAGTTACTTCTATAGTTTATTTGCTCCTTTGTAATGGTTGGAAGTCTGAACTAAAGCTGCATTGCAGTTAATGTTAATAACTTTGTTACCATTAACTTTGATAACTTTGTTGCCATTACTGCTAGATTACTCAACTCAAGACAGCTTTTCAAGACAGGATCCCCACAGGACCACTGCTGGACTGAGAATTGTCTACCAACTAGAATTATCCAGCCAACAGTGTCCTGTGGGAGGTGTCCGGTGACCACTGATGAAGGACTAGAGGATGACTAACACAAACTGTGCAGCAACAGATGAGCTATTGTGTCTGACTTTACATCTACAGGGTGGACCAACAGGTTAACAGTGTCTAGTAGAATGGACATTCAGTGGGCACTGTCTAAAGTACAAAGTATGTAGAGAAACAGACTATGTTCTTTACACAACTACAGAGTGCACCTGTGTGGATGGATATGAGATACAAGAAGGTGTACTTTAATTTAATTTAATTTTTTTGTCAACATTGCCTGATGAGTAGCAAGTCTATCATTAGCCCATAGAAATAATGCAAGTTAGGATGGCTGAAAAGTTCACCCAGAAACCTCCAGTTATGCATGGAGATGTATGTTGTGTGTAGAGCGCATTTTTCCAGTAAAAATGATCTCTTGCAAGGATAAAACAGTGTATTTTTTAACAAAACCTTGTTCTGCTTTGTTATTTATTACTCCTGATGTTAACAGACCATAATCTAGAGGAATTTGGTGGCAAGTTTTAGTGGAGGTGTACTCTTGTTAGCGCTGCAATACAACACCAAAAATTTAACTAGTTGTCCCCAGACATGTATTCTCATTATGAAAGCACATCTGGCCCCAGAAGACTACACTTTCAGTCAACCTAATTTCTCTCAAGATTTAACCGTCAGGTTTATCTAGTATTTCATAAATGTTGGGTCTAAATTTCCCTCCACTGTTCATACTAGTTCTAATATATTGTGCTAACTCTGTTGTACTTTGTACATGTACTTTCTTTGTCACCTGCATGTGGTTCACCCAATCAACATAAATACCCTTGAATTTAAAAAATAAATTCGTCTGCCTTTTTTTGTGATTGTGTTGAATCCTGGGTGATTAATTTTGAGTTCAATTTTTTTAAGGCAGCTTTTGTGTCTTTTGGTGTTCTGCCCTAATGTGTGTTTGCATGTGTTTGTAGGAGCCGTGTCTCAGGTGCTGGATAGTCTAGAGGAGATTCATGCGCTGACTGACTGCAGTGAGAAAGATTTGGACTTCCTACACAGCGTCTTCCAGGACCAACATCTACACACGCTGCTCGATGTAAGCAGATATACAGGCATGAGCTTCTTGCACAGAACCGCAGAGGGCAAATTGGAGAAGCTCCAAAACTTGCAATAGTACACTCATTAGAGCTTTTCATTTTAACCGTAAGCGTGTTCAAAAAATCCCTTTCTAGTCAGTGTTCACTTTGCTCTTTCTCTCTTGCTTACTTTTGTGAAAATAAACCACAATATAACACACTCATCTTTTTTGCACATCACCTGTTTGCAATTTAACATGACGGATGAGAATTTTCATTCAGTTCAGTCATCTTGGTACAGCTGAGGAATCTTTTGAAATGTGATGACTGAAAGGAAATGGATGTTGGAAGCGTTAGCACTAAATGCATGTCAACTGCAACAGCTTAGCCTATGGACTGCTTTCACTCTGCATTATGACACATTTCCTTTTTGAAATAGTTCGGCTCTCTCATTTCAGGGAGTGTTGTTTATGTTGGGTTTTAGAAAACCTCAGATCAAAATGGGTAAGATAACACCTGAAGAAATATTTCGAGTACTTGTGTGTTACTTGTTGCACGATGTCTTCAAAGCTACTTCCTCTGCCACTGCCTGCCAAAGTTCCAAGTACAGATGTCATCATGGAACATGTTAGATATAGCTACGCTAGCTAGAAGTCATTCCTTACAGTGTCTATTGTCCCAAACTGTTATTTGGGTAACTTATAGCAGCTTTCTGTGTCGCATTTACCAGCGATTTTTCATATTCATGTCTTTAAAAAGCTAATGCTACGGGTAGTGCACAATGAGTCAATGAGGTAATAATGCACATTATATCAGAGACATTGCATGGCTCTCTCATCACAAACAACTGTGTAAAGTGGAAACCAAAAATGTCATGCCATGATGCTAAGATACAAGCCTGGAGTCATGTTTTTGAGTGAGCGGTGAAATGTGGATGCTATCTGAAGTATTGCTTCAAAAATTGTAATGAAACTAAAAGAATGAGGCTCTTTGGCCGATTGCTAACACAGCTAGCCAGCTAGCTAATGTTTGCTACTCTTATGAAGCTGGTTTTCTTAAACTGTTAATGGTAGGCTAGTTAATTAGTGCTGCAAGACAAAGTCTATCCAATAGACTTTTCTACATGAAAGTTTTGCTTTCCTTTTATAATGTTACAGAGATCGCTGACATTTGCGCAGACTGCATGCCAGCTGTTGCCAGCAGTTAATGAAAGCTCCCTTGTTTGGGAATAAAACTACAGAAGTCTGTTAAAATTCATGCTACATATACAAGTTCTGTTTTCATTTTGTAATACAGGTATTTAAAAAATTGTAGGCATGTTGTACAAAGACACAGACGGCTGCAGGAGTAAACAGGGCTACTCCACCAGTACATTATTTTAGCTTGGTTTAAAGTATAATTGCTTCCATCCACTTATTATTCTCACCATTTGTTGTGACATTTCACGGAAACTAAAATGTGGACGCTGCAGCTGTTGATACACTGTGATAACATTTTGATATCGCTTCTGCAGCAGTTATATGGAGCTGAAGTGAGTGTTACTCTCAGAAAAACTGAAAACGCAAGAGCAGCACTAAGAAGAATGCAGAATGAATTGTACGGAGTCTAAGAAGCTCTTTGGAGGAAGTGGTCTCGCTGAGTCATATAGAAAAATGCTTGTGTCTTTGTCACCATTGAGAGACCACTTGTTTGTCAGCAGCCTTGTGCATAAATATATCACTGTGTCTTTAAAGACACACTTGTTGAGAAAAAGATATATTTTCCTAAAGATATAATAAGATATAATATTCCTGCAGATTTCTGAAAGCAAATCTCCCCAAAAAACAGTCTCTGAAATGAAGGCAAAAGGTGGACACACTAAATATTGAGAAATCACATCATATGTAGTCTTTGAGGCTTCTGTGGTATTTTCTGTTCAATATGTTTTTTTTCCTGATGCTGAAAAATGAGTAATTTGTGTAAAATGGCCATTTTGACTGGGAATTAAACAAATGAAACTGGTCTCTGACTTTTGCACAGTACTGTGTGTATTCTGTGTCTAGATTAGATTAATTATTATGTGTCTTCACTGATGGTTTTCTGACTTCTAAAAGTAAAATGTCTAAAATATTTTTAGGGACAGTACCTAAAAATTAGCCAGCTAACTAAGTCTTACACATTTTCATGATAAAACAATGGTGTAATTAGTATGTATTGTTCCTATTAATTAAACACATAAAATAAAATAAAGGTTTCAGACAGAACTCAGACACTTTTCAGGAACCAAAACAAAAAAGGTTTGCATTTCTTTTAAAAATGAAAAATTGTGAACACACTTCATTTTTTTTGTTTAAATGAAACACAATAAATTTAACACTAAATGGAAAAAGTATAGATGATCATTTAAAAACAATGATTTTGAGGCCCCAAATCGTTGGCGGATTGTATACGTTCATTTCTCTTCCGACTTTCTGTAGTGTAGTCACGCTTTGCCAGTGTTTTACTGATTTGTGCATGTGTGTGTTGCAGCTTTATGATAAGATCAACACGAGGTCTTCACCGCAGATCAGGAATCCTCCCAGTGATGCTGTTCAGAGAGCCAAAGAGGTGCTGGAGACCATCTCCTGTTACCCAGAGAACATGGAGGCTAAAGAGCTAAGGAGGATCCTCACACAGCCACACTTTATGGTGAGACAGATAACGATAGATCCTAAAAGCATTATTGTTCCAGCTACCTTGTCATCTTCTAATCATCTGTAGCTAATTCTTTACAGAGTAATAATTCCAGAAACAGCAATCAACACATCAACATACCTTTGTAGTTCACATTCTAGCACTGGCTAATAGTGCTTTAGCTGCAAGTGTTTCCAGTGACAGAGGATCCCTAATTGGGATTAATAGTACTTAAAGCAGCTCTACCTGCTTTTAAATCTGGAAAACTGGAGAAAACGTAAATATGAATGAATGAATGAATGAAATGAACCTTTAGCCAACTGTGTCTGAACACATCGGAATTAGACATCCGCATTTAACCCATCCGTGCAGTGAAGCACCACATACACACTAGTGAACACACACACACACTAGGGGGCAGTGAGCGCACTTGCCCGGAGCGGTGGGCAGCCCTATCCATGGCGCCCGGGGAGCAGTTGGGGGTTGGGTGCCTTGCTCAAGGGCACTTCAGTCACGTACTGTCGGCTCAGGGGATCGAACCGGCGACCTTCTGGTCACAAGGCTGGTTCCCTAACCTCCAGCCCACGACTGCCCCCATATAATCTAATATGATGTCCAGCTGTAATTATAGTCAGTCTTTATGTTTATATCTGATTTGGTCTATAATATTAATCTTAGAGCTGTCACTGTGAATCAAATAATGACGTTTAATTTACAAATAATAAAGTTTAATTTATATAGTGCCTTTTATAAAACCAGTCTTTAGAATTTCAGCATAAGACACAGAAGAACACATATCACAGAGATAAAGTTGCCAGTGGAGTAGCAAACATTTTACTTCTGTAGCCCAGCATCCCGAACATTCTGCTCTTCCGGAGTACTAGAACTATGCCATCACATATCTGCTTCAATTGTTGGTCAAATCTAAACCATCAGTCTGATGCTAATAATTTTTCTTCATTAAAATATGTCTTTAAGAGAGGTCAGTGGTTGAAAATAGAGAGAAATATAGGTTTAATCATGTTACAGAGGTATTTGAATGTAGTGTTAGGAGTCAGAGGGCTCTCAGTGGTGTGGTGTGCATTCAGGAATCAAACTCTAATCTCTCACATGGGGGGCAGCAGAATTACCCACTTCCTTATACCAGCTGCAAATGTGCACTATCATGATGCAAACTGCCAGTTATTGAATGTTACTTGAGAAGGTGAAATTTTATTCAATTATTTTCTTACATTGACTAATAGAATTTAATTAATGTAATAGTTAATTAAGCATTTCATTAATTTAAGTTTGTTTTTATGAATATTTAACATTTTAGCTCAACTATCAGCTTTTACAGGTGCACATGCTTACATGGGGCAGTCTAGTAATTTAGTGACAATCTGCAGCCACTGCTAAGCCATTGGACACCTGATCAGGCTGATGGTGTTACCATGGTAATGCAGGTCATTCAGAGATAGGAAGGGCGGGAGAGTGGGCAGGTGGGAGGGATGACTCCCTTATCACGGATGGGTGCAGGAACAGCAGGAGGAATTGAGAGGCAGTGGAGAGGTGGTGTCAAAAGAAGGAACATCCTGGCTGGCCACAGGTTGGTGACTAGTACAGCCTCAGGTGAAGCATTACACAAGAGCAATGAGCATTAGCACAGGATAGCTGTGGATGAGCTGATGGAGGAAGGAAAGGACAACAAACTCTCAACAGACATCAGACTTCTTTTTTAACCTCACCTTTTGACTGAATAGTATGTAAGTGTGTGTGATTTTCTGACAAGCTTATAAGGTTCTAATCAGTGTGTATGTGTGTGCATGTGATACCATGTATGTCCAGGCTGAGCAAATATTGCCTAATTGGAACATTTTGTTAGTAACAGGTCCCATCTCCCATCCCATACATAGTTTCCTTTTGTTATTCATAAGATTTTCTAGCATTACGTGTATTGTCTTGATTGGTTTACTGAAGGAAAGGTAGAGCTTCTTGTGGTTTTTGATAACCCTAAGTGAGACATGGAGCTGAGTTTTGTTCTCGGTGGCTGGCTGCCCATCCATCGTCTTAGTGACTGCTTAGTCTCTGACCCAAATAGTATTTTTGACCCACATTCAAGGTGTCCTACTCATCTACTGCTGCACTGGGTCCAACTCCAGGCACAACTACTCAAGTATGCATATTGCTTAATTTTATCATGATACTTCAGGCAATTTGCTCACAGGGATTGAAGGCAGTTGAAACACTGCAAGCCTGCTGTTCAACAAAATAATAACTAACAGAGTGTAGGGGTAATATTGAAATGTTGGAGTGAAGTGAGGTAGTTACGAAATTGGTAAGAATGGTTAAAGTATAAATTAGTAGCCTTGTAGCTTTGTGACTAGTGCTCATATCTGTAGGTTTTACAGGAGTGTGAATGCATAGCTGTAGTCTAGAGGTTTTCACTCCTGCGGATTCCCTTGGTATCCGCTGCAGTATTTCGCGGCGCGGGACTAATGCTCGGTGTTGCCGGCACACATGAAGAGAAATCTCGCAAATTAATGAATAGCCTAAATAAAGTAGAATGATCAGTAATTAAGCAATAGAACATGAGAGGGAGTGTGTTATCGAATACTCGATAGCACACCACCTCGAGTGTTCCATTGCTTTTATACAACAGTTAAATAAATAAAGTAAGAAATTAATAAATTGGTCCGTGAACATGTCATTTAATATGTTTTAATGTTAGCAATTCCTTCTGCCAAATTATAGTTCCTTAACAAGCAGCTTGTTGCTGTCAAAATCGTTGCTTAGCAATGGCGTCTTGTCGGAGTGATACATTATTTGTGAAAAACCTGTGATGTTATGGCGAAATAACAGCACGGTTAGAACGCTTCTCAACCAATTAGCTTGCGTGGACGGAACTAAGTGTTGTATAAATCATATATATACACAGATCAGGCATAACATTATGACCACCTCCTTATTTTTATGCTCATTGTCCATTTTATCAGCTCCACTTACTATATAGGTGCACTTTGTAGTTCTACAATTACAGACTGTAGTCCATCTGTTTCTCTGCATACTTTGTTAGCCCCCTTTTACCCTGTTCTTCAGTGGTCAGGACCCCCATGGACCCTCACAGAGCAGGTACTATTTGGGTGGTGGATCATTCTCAGCACTGCAGTAACACTGACATGGTGGTGGTGTGTTAGTGTGTATTGTGCTGGTACAAGTGGATCAGATGAAGCAGTGCTGCTGGAGTTTTTAAACACTGTGTCCACTCACTGTCCACTCTATTAGACATTCCTACCTTGTCAGTCCACCTTGTAGGTGTAAAGTTGGAGATGATAGCTCATCTGCTGCTGCACAGTTTGTGTTGATCACCCTCTAGTCCTTGATCAGTAGTCACAGGACACTGTTGGCTGGATATTTTTGGTTGTTGGACTATTGGACCAGCAGTGACATTGAGGTGTTAGTGGAGCTGATAAAATGGGCAATGAGCATAGAAACAAGGAGGTGGTCATAATGTTATGCCTGATCGGTATATATAAACAATATAAAATGATAAGCGTTAAAACAATTAAAATGAATGAAGTCATTATGAGGAGTTGTGAAGCAACTGATCACGTGAGCAACACACATTTTGTGAGTTTCTGAGCTTACAGAGATGGAGGAGCCTTCAGCCGACAGCCACAGCTGCTGTGCCCGGCAAAACACCAAAAATAACCCTTTTGTGGTTAAATTTCTGCTTTGTGTTTACTGCAAATAAATCGTGTTTGGCAAAGTTACTTCACAGTGAGCCTGATGATGGTGTTATTTCAGCAGAAAATAATGTGTTTGTGAAAAGACTGTCAGATATTGAATGTCAGTTTGCCTTGATGAAACTGTGTGGGCGTGAGCGGGCTAAAATCTTAAGTTCAGTTGCGGGAGGGGGCGAGACGAATTAATCCGATTTTCTACAGAGCGAGCAGATGCAGGATGAAATCTTGCGGGAGCGGGACTGAAAAAATACAGTCCTGTGCAGACCTCTGCTGTAGTCAATTGCACTTACTCAGCACTCACTGAGATTTTCTCCAGTGAATAAACATGCAATGACACACCTGTCTGATCTATAATCTGTGATAGGAGGGGTACATAGTAATTTTTGCCACAAATCACAGTTCAAAGAATGCTGACCACTTGGCTGGAAGGATGTCATGTGCAACATATCAGCATAACATTTTGTATTACTTTCACATGTAAGAAGTTCTGTTGTTCTGTTGTGGTTCACCCAATCGATATAAATACACTTGACTTACAGTTGTACACTTTAATCCTTTGTTTCATTTTCAAATATAGTGTGCTGCAGTACAGACACTAGTACACTAGTACACTAATGCAGTGTCTTTGCACAGCTCAGAACTGTTATGTCGGCTAATAGATGCCTGCACTGGCTGGCATTTCACAAAAGTGGTGGGAGAGAGGGAGGGATATCCACAGAGTGGGGAAGTGAGGCCGTTTGTGCCCTCTTGGAATCCCGGCCACTGATGACTGTGGCATCGCTGGGGATCGAACTTGCGATCTTCTGATGATGGGGCCAACAATTAAGGTAGTTACGCCTCTCAGGAGCCCTGAAATGATAAGTGGAAAGAATAAACACAGTCATACTTGATAATTAGTTATGCAGCAATTGTTTGAAGCATTTTTTTTAAGTTTAATTTGATTATCAGTGGTATTAGAACTTATAGACTACAAAACCGCTGACTAAGAAAGAGAACTTTACAAACATTACTTGTCCAAAAGTTTGTGGACGTCCCTTTTTTTGTGATTTCAACTGCTTTAAGGTGCACGCGCTGCTGACACGGGAGTTCAAATACATACACAGCTTGTATAATCTTCATGGAAAAGTATTGACCAATAGGACAGGATGCACTGAAACAGCCACACATGAACCTAAGATCACCAAGCCCAATGCCAAAAGTCAGCTAGAGGGGTATAAAACTAGGCTGTGGAGCAGTGAAACTGTTCTCTGGAGCAATGGCGCTCCATCCAGTGCCTTCAGGATGAATTGGAGAGGTGTTTGTGATCCAGAACTAATCATCCAACATCAGTATCTGACCTCACTAATGGTCTTGTGGCTGAATGCAATCAAATCCTTACAACAATGTTGCAACATCTATTGTAAAGTCTCCCTTAAAGTATAGAGGCTGTTACTGCAGGAAAGGAGTGACAAACTCCTTTTTAATTCTCTTGATTTTGGAAGAAGTTTTGGGTTAGCAGGCATCCACAAACTTTTGGTCATGCAGTGTACTTTTGTGTACCCTGCATAAAATATTGTACTTTGTTCTATACTGCATTATATTTTGTGTTAGTGTTCTTGTGTTCAATAGTGTTCTGTTGTGCAGGTATTGGGTTGCCTTTGTTATGCAGCTGTTAAAGAGTGGGATATTGTTTTTAGTAATGATAGTGATGTGTGAAGATTTGTACTGTTTCTGTAACAGGCATTGCTGCAGACACATGATGTGGTGGCTCACGAGGTGTACAGTGATGAAGCCCTGAGGGTCACGCCCCCACCCACCTCCCCTTACCTCAACGGAGACTCGCCCGAGAGTGTTAACGGCGAAATGGACCTGGAGAATGTCACCCGCGTTCGTCTCGTGCAGTTCCAGAAGAACACAGATGAACCTATGGTACACATAGCCGCACACACACGCACTCATAGATACGGTAAAGAGTTTGTTGTTTGCTTCAGTTTCATAACAGACAATGATCCTGTTGACACCTGGACACTTCATGCATCTTGAATATCAGGATTATATCTGGATAAGGCCAAGGCACATACAAAAGCAAGTGTAAACTCACCCAAGATGCATTTAAAAGAGATACCAATCTGATCACTCAAACCACATCAGGAGGTAGTCTGAGAGGCATTCAAACCACGTTATAACAGTGTAAATTCATCTGTCTCTCCTAGACACATTCAACAACCGAAACCCCTCCCGATACGACTGAAACTCCTCCCCATGCAGTACCCCACTGGGCAAGTGATCAGTATCCGCGAGGAAGATAATAATGGAGGATGCACATGGTTGGGGGCCGGAAAAAATTACATGCTAAATGGCAATATGGACAGATAATACTGTACAAAAGACAAAAGAGGCTGAACAGATTAAAAAATTGGTAATTGGTTGCCGAGTGGATTTGCATATTCTGTCTCAAACAGCAATCGGATTTCAGTCCCACTTACCGGAGATGCATTTGACTACTCAGTGTAAAAGCATGTGGCTGAAATCTTATCCGGATGCAGTCCAGATACTAGTCACATGAAGTGACCAGGTGTAAACAGGCTCAGTGTTATTTCAAAACAGGCACATTACAATGCCTAACAAAAAGATTATCATGAAACTAGAGGTAGGGGATATAGCAAAAATACAATGTTTTGATACACAATATGTCATGATGTCAAATTTTCTAGCATCTGATGGGTTGGAACGGACAAAATATAACTCACTGTGCCACGTTTAAAAAATACTAACAAAAACATTTCACATACTCCACTGCACGAAATTAAATTAAACAGGACTAATTATGCTTTCTTTGTAATGAAACATGTATTTTGTCAGTGTCTCAGAAGTATTCAATCATATGCTCAGAAAAGCATGTTCTGATGTAATTTATCACAGTAACGATAAATATAGTCATATTGTCCCTACGTGAAACAGAATAGAAATGTTAGTCCTCTTCAAAATAGCCACTCTTCGCTTTAAAGATAACAGCTTCAAACAGTGGGTTCTGGGTAAACACATTTCAACAGAAAACCAAAGATGTCTCTACAGACTTTTAATTGCTTTAGGTTTCAAGCTGAAAACCCTTTGCTTTGGATGACTGTTTCATTAAAATAAATAAACTCAACACTTTAAAACTTATTCGAAACACTTTAGAATAAGTTTAAAAAACTTATTCTAAAATGTTCAATTATGATTATCAGTTGGGTTAACAACCCACATATAATGAAACATTTGTAACTTAATCACAATAAATAAAATGAAAATGAAATATGAGAAAAAACTCTATATTGGCTATAGTAAATTAACTTTGTAGTTGATAGCATTTTCTTTCTTTATTTTCTGTTCCACAGTTTTGTGATTAGTTTTACTTGATTGTTTTACTCACACAATCTGATCATCCGTTTGTAAATGTGTGAAAATTAGCTTTGAGTATATAAAATATAGCAGGTTTTGCTATGTGTTGTTTAACTCCTGTTCATTTGCAGGGGATCACTCTAAAAATGAATGACCTGAACCACTGCATTGTAGCCCGGATTATGCACGGAGGGATGATTCACAGGCAAGGTACTGCAGTCACCCATCATCACTATTGAAACAGCTGAATTTCTTTCTTTCATGGATTGTACATGCACTGCTTAGTTTCGTCATGATTCATTTGGCAGTTTGCACACATACAGAATGTGCTCTTGAGCTTCGGTTTACATCTTGTTTGTGTTCTTTTACAGGAACACTGCACGTAGGTGACGAAATTCGAGAGATTAATGGCATCAGTGTAGCCAATCAGACGGTGGAGCAACTTCAGAAGATGCTGGTTTGTGGAGAATGTTTGTCTTTTTTTTTAATTTTTTTTATTTTTTTTTTATTTTGGTCTTTTGTGTTTTTTTTTCCCCTATTGTCAGACTGCTACACATGGACTTACCAAAAAATTTTTCTTTTGCTTTGGTCAATAGTTAAGATGCAGATGAATCAGTGTGCTTTTTTTTTAACTGAGGAAATAAATAGAAAGAACTTTTTTTTTTCCTGATCCAGAGAGAGATGCGTGGGAGTATCACCTTTAAGATTGTTCCGAGTTACCGCAGCCAGTCCCTGTCCTGTGATGTAAGTGTTGCACTCCAAGTTCCACCATCAACGGTAAACATGAGGAGCTCTATTCTCCCACCTTAGGGTAATATAGGGAAGAGTAAACTGTGCCCCATCATTTTTAAAGGCCCACAGCATGAAAAAATTCCCTTCCTTTTTTATTGTAAGTTTAATGTTGTAAACATTTGTTGATGTTTCAAAATTTACCATTTGCTCCCTAGCCCATACTGTCTTTGATGGAAATTAAGGTGCAAAAACAGCACAGTTATGATTTAATTGTTGCCATATGATTGGCATATGAGTGTCCATTCAGCCTACAGTAGTTTAGCGCTGCCTGTTCATGCTGATGAAGTGTTTGAGTAGGACTGCTTTTTAATTGATGTACAAAAAGGACAGTGAAGAACTGAACAGACATCATTCACATTAGAGGTGGCTGATATGGCAAAAGTGTGACATTTTCATAATACACAGTTTTACAATATTTTTTTCTGACATCTTATAAATAGGAATAGACAAATTGTGCCACATTTTAAAATTACTATTAAAAACTGAATGCAAAGATTTGTATTCAACATTTCAAGTACTGTGCTTGTTGCTCTAAATCCAATTAAACAGGACAGATTATGCCCTCTTTGTTATCTAACATGCATGTATTTGGGGTACTGATGATATCCACAATATGCACAGAAAAGCAAATTGTGATGTAATTTATCCTGATAATGCTAAACGTTGTCATATTGCCTGGCCCTGATTTATGTATCCGTCTTAAATGCACACTAACAAATACAGCTTGTTGAATTTTAAGGGATAAAAAGAGGCTGGAAAATGTAAAAATGAACTGTGACTGTTTGTGGTACATGAGTACAAGTGGCCCTCAGGGAAAAAATGAAATACAGTGAAACATAGTGCGAGGGCCCTTTAAGCAATCCACAGTGAGTAATGTCTAGTATCCTCCATCCATGATTCTCTCCAGGTCTATGTATTGTCTCTTCCCTTTTGCATTTGTCACATTGTGATTACCTTATCCAAATCCTCTTTCAGAAAGAATCACCTGACCTTTCCAGACAGTCCCCTGCCAACGGTCATGCCAGTGTCACCAGCTCCATTCTGGTAAGGCACAGATAATCAGAATCTTTAGAACTCTGCTCGAGTAGACAGAGTTGCCCAGGCTGACTGCTAGGGTGTAAACGTTCCCTAATCATTTAAGCCTTTTGTGAGCCTTATTGTTGTCAGGATGTTACATTTTTGCATGTTAACATTAGTAAATAGAGTATGCTACTTCAGCCAACCATATGTTGTGTATCTAATATAACCATGTGTTGCAAAATATTTCATTAAACTAGGGATGTCCTAATCCAGTGTTTGTTTTATGTTACTTAATACTGTAAAACCGAGAATTACCAATACGGGTTCAATCATTGTGTTTTCACAGTTTATAGAAGTGAATTACTTTTGGTGTACAAGGCTGCCAATTAATGATACAGTAAAGTAAATTCATTTTTAGTCCATTTCATATTGTGTCTAATATGTATTTGTGATTCAAGTTGACTGACTGATCTGGTGCTTTGGCTACCATTTACTTTTTACATTTTTAATATGTGTACAGTGGTAAATGCCCTGAACTCAAGTCTTTTTTTAATTTGTCTTATTTGTATCATTTTGTAGTGACTTGAGCCAAGTCATGCCAAGTCTTCATTGTGTACTTTAAAATAGTTTCACACTATAGACATTTAGACCACTCTGTTAATGTCCATTTATGTCACCTCTATGATAGTGGCGTAAGTACGCATATAATTCGTAAGAATTATACATAAAAGAAAGAAAGGATCGGAGGTGGATCTGGCTTAATATAGCCGATACCCATTCCGTTAAAATATGCCTGGTCTGGCTCCGAGCCTATGGATCAGGTTGGGACATCCCTACGGTAAAGCCAATCTTTTTATTTCTGTAAACACTCAGAGTATTATTGGATGAAAATGTCATTTTCTCCATTTTTAGGATCTACCATCCACCATCCAACCCAAAGGACGTCAGGTGAGCATCTTTAATCTTGGCCGTCATTTGGATTGTTAGTTGCTGGGTCATTTTTGTATCATCTGAACACCTGAGTGTGTGTGTGTGTGTGTGTGTGTGTGTGTGTGTGTGTGTGCGCGCGCGTGTGTATGTGTTTACATATGCTGATTTGTGTAATGATCGAGGTCTGAAAGTTCAGCAGTACGTGGTTGAGGTTAACTAGCCTTCTAACTAGTCTTCTCCAAGCACAATAGTTGTGAGATGGCCTCTTCCTTACACTAGTGTTCAAACGATCTTTTAAAAAGCTTGCTGCCTCCCGAGTCCTGTCGATGTCAGGTTTGTTATACTGCATGACGTGTGTGTGTGTGTGTGTTTGCGTGCGTGTGATGCTTTCGAACCCTTAGATCTCCAGACCTGCAATCAAGGATAAAATGTCCATGAAGGTGAGTTTCCTCAGATCAGATCTGATAGCGTAGCTCCCTCCTCCCCCCGTGACGTTACAACGACAAATTCCACCTCACTTTGTTCGTGTTAACCATTTCCTTGTTTTGTTGCGCTTGGTCCGGACTGAGCAGTTTCATAAGGCTTTGCTTTTGTAGTTGTAGCTCCTAGCTGTAGCTTATAGCCCGCCATAGTGAAGGTATGGTCCCCCTTGCCCACCCTGCTTAACCCCTGGCGCCTTGGTGGTATGGTCTACCTCATGGTCTGTACAATATAGGCATGTGCCTTTGGGCTTGGGAAGTGCTGCTTGGGGAGAGGTTGTGCAGGTGTGTGTGCGTGTGTGTGACAATATGGCGTTATGACTTCTCTGTTTCAATAGTGTGGCTACAGCCTCTTTCTGTTGCAAACATGCAGTCCATCAGTTTACTTCAACAAGGCAGTCATGCTGTTTTCTGTCTCTACCTCTTTTTCTCCTCTTTGCCTCCAGCTCTTTGCTCCTTATCCCCATAGATCCTCCTCCCTGTTTAGAACCGTTCACATCAGTCTGACCATTAAAATTTCCCCTCTCGTCCACAGATATTTGTGCGAGCACAGTTTGAGTATGACCCAGCCAAGGATGACCTCATCCCCTGCAAAGAAGCGGGCATTCGCTTTCGGGTGGGAGACATCATCCAGATCATCAGCAAGGACGACCACAACTGGTGGCAGGGCAAGCTGGAGAACACAAAGAATGGCACAGCTGGCCTCATTCCCTCTCCTGAGCTGCAAGAGTGGTAAGCCTCACAGATTAAAGCAGCAGGCAACACTCTGAGGGGAAAAGCGAGAAATGTTGCCAGAATGCAAGTTGGAATTGCACAAGAATCAGAACAAAAACGGTAATAAACACTTGACTCAAAGCTGGATTAGCGATTGTATCTGATGTTATTTTGTGGGTACGTTTTTCCCCATGTGTGCAAATGCTTGGTTTGTATGCTTTTGAAACTAAAATGTCCTGATTTTGTAGAAAACGAGATAAAATGTGTAACAATAATACAAACAAAATGACTAGAACGACTTTGTAAAATAATTATATTTTTTTAAAAGTGCCACCACAACTTTTTTTCCGAACTGCCACATACACAATGTCATTGGACATCTGAACATGCTTGGAGGAGAACGGTAACTGCCTGTTTTGTTATGTCAGCTAACAGATGCCTGCACTGGCTAGCACCGTGCTGAGTGATTGGGAGAGTGGGATTACCATCCTGCCCACCCAGAGAGAGCGAGGCCAGTTATGCTCTCTTGGACTACAGGCCCCACTGATAGCTGTAGTGTCCACAGGGATCGAACCTCTTTGAAGAACTAAGAAATTCAGTGATTAAAAGCTTACTGTGTCTAGAATCTAGACACTGCACAAACAAGTTCGCCTCTGCCACACACCGCTTTATCACACTGTTATAATCCGCTCAACTAGGGATCTGCAAGTAGTGCAGTTACATTTGAAAAAAGATACCTTAATAGATTATAAGAATTTTACTTTGGCCAATAAATGAGCGCATACCACATAAAAACCTAGCGTCATGAAACAAAGCCCCTCATCCAAGCTGGGCGGTACCATTTTATGGCAGGGGAAACATTGAAGTAGTTACAAATATAATGCATATAGAACATATGAGCCCACATTCGGACAATTGTGTATGCAAAGTAGTGTATATGTGTGTAATTGTGAGTGTATTCTGTATCCCTTAGGCGTGTGGCCTGCATAGCAATGGAGAAAACCAAGCAGGAGCAGCAGGCCAGTTGCACCTGGTTTGGCAAAAAGAAGAAACAGTACAAAGACAAATACCTAGCTAAGCACAATGCAGGTAGGTGAAGACAAACAGCACATTACTTTAACTAGTTATCAAAACTCACGTAGCTGCTCAGTCCTACATGCTACCTCAGAGTTAGTGTATATGTACATAATATGTATGTGTCACACCAATCCAACTAATAATATCTGTCAATATCTCCCTGTTTACACACACACACACCCACACATACACATACACTCACAGAGGTGTTGGTGACCAGGCCTGTTTCTGTGCCAGCTGTTGCTGTTGCCTGTAGCTCAGTGTTGATCCTCTGACCGGTCCATGCCCCACTTTCCACATTATATGATTACAGAGACACCATTGCCTACTGACACACACACACCCACACACACACACACGCACACAGACAGCCGGTCTCTGCATACCTAATATAACTGACCAGCTGTCTGACCCACAGAGTAACATGTTCAGGTTTGTGTACTGCTTAATGAGTTTAATATGAATAGTAGTCATTTGTTAAAATTGATGAGCAAAAGTATTAATTTAACTAAAACTGCATGGCTTTATAACTAATGTGTCTAACCTCTATTGGAGCATGCACTTTCCTCTCCAGTAGTTGCAGTTGTGGTATTGTGTCTGTTTTTGTTGTGCCTGCAACTACAAGAGCAGGCAGTGTTGCCATGGCAGATCAGTAGTAATATTTGTTTAACCAGTTTCAATGCCCCACTACCCCTCCTCCCCCTTGTCCGTTTTCATGCTGTCTCCCCTTAATGGCCTCCTTGCATGTAAGTACAGCAACTGACTAACGCGGTCAGTTTGTTTTGCCTTTCATCTTTTCAGTTGTTTACTTTAATCTAAGTGTTAAATATTTTATAGTGTAGAATTGGTGTAACTTGTGCAAACAACAAGGCAGTATTCTATGTTATTCCCCTTTTTACCCATTGTGTACTTCTGTCCCATATTAATCTTGCTGTCATAAGTTGTTGTGCTTTTGAAGCTCTAGTGAAAGGATTGAACATTCCCTCCTCATTCACATCTTGCAGTGACATATTTGTATTGTACAGAGAATATGAGCACATGTCCATATGTGGAAACATTTGTGTATATCACTATAATGTACATATTTCTTTTCAACTGCCATACATTTTGCCATAAAGTCTGTCCACATGTCTACACCGATAGCATCTTCTGACCACACAGAATAGATTTTTTGCCTCACTGACATCACACCATACTCTTCCACTCTTTTCATGCTGTGCTGAGTAGTCCACACATCTGAGCGAAAACGGCTCATTTTCTCACCTTCTTTCCCGCTCTCCTGCAGTGTTTGACCAACTAGATCTTGTCACATATGAAGAAGTTGTGAAGTTGCCTGCGTTCAAGAGAAAAACGCTGGTCTTATTAGGTATGTGGTGCTGTGTTGTGTTCTTTGCATGTGTGACTTTCGGCATCAGCTGTTCTGCTGAGGAAATCATCTGTTAAACCACGCGTCTGTCTGCAGGTGCTCATGGAGTCGGCAGGCGACATATCAAGAATACACTCATCGCAAAGCACCCAGACAGATTTGCCTACCCCATTCCACGTAAGTCCTACACATGCTCCAGCATAGCCATCGTTGTTTGTGTGTTGGGGGTGGTGCAAGTTACACTCGCACTTTGCAGCGTTTAAACCTTTCTAAAAACATTTTGTAATAGTAGTACAGAGCATTCTAGGCTTTTTTTAATTACAGAAAAAGAAAAGACAGTGAGTTGTGTATGTTTTGCTCAGCAGCTTGCAGTAGAAGAACAAATTCCCAAAAAAACCTTGGTTTCTGAGACTACCCTCGAGGTAGAACAAACCACACGCATGTTTTTATATAACTTTGATACCTCTAGTTTGTGAAATGGATGGTTGTATAAAAATATTTTACTGAAAAAATTCTGTAATGCATTAATATTTGGAAACTCCCCAAAACCAGAAAATATTCAAATTTAGACCTGCCCTAAAGAGAGAGTGTCTGCATTATCTCTAATAAATAAAATTCAGAATGGGTCCAACTTCAGACTGACTGTGCTCAACCACATACTCACATTTCTTTATGTCCTAAAGAAAAGATAACACAAATCTTTCTCTACTGTCAAAATACAGGCCCTTAAACATATGTATGCCACAGGTGGAAACTGATTTAAAAATTCAACATTTAAACTGTAATGCATACTTTATTAAGCATGTTAAAAAGTAGTAAAGTACCCTTAGATTTATTTAATTTCCAGTCAAAACATCCATTAAAGACAAGCTATTTATTTTTGTCAGGGGGAGAAAAGGAGAAGACATTAACAGAAAATTACACAGAAACCTAACAACTTGTCAAGTTCTTTCACACCAAACTCACCCACTCATGCCTTTATGGACCTTGATTTGTGCACTGGGGCACAGTCATGTTGGAACAGAAAAGGATTTTCCCCAAACTGTTCCCACAAAGTTGCAAGTGTACAGTTGTCTAAAATGTCTTGGTCTGCTGAAGCATTGAGATTTTCCTTCACTGGAACTAAGGGGCCTAGCCCAACCCCTGAAAAACAACTCCATAGCATTATTCCTCCACCAAACTTTACTCTTGGCACAATGCAGTCAGGAAGGTAACATTCTCTTAGCATTCACCAAACCCAGACTTGCCCATCAGACTGCCAGATAGAGAAGCGTGATTCATCACTCCGCAGAAAACGTTTCCACTGCTCCAGAGTCCGGTGGCGGCGTGCTTTACACCATTCCATCAAATACTTGGCATTGCGCGTTATAATCGTAGGCTTGTGTGTAGCTGCTTTGCCATGGAAACCCATTTCTAGAAAATCTTAATACGCAGTTTGATGATGCTGCTTCCAGAGGCAATTGGACCTCGTTAATGAGTGATTCAACAGAGGATAGACCCTGTCTGTGAGTTTTTGTGGTCTGCCGCTTTGTGGCTAAGGTGCTCCTAGGTGCTTCGATTTCACAATAATTTGCAGTTCCCAAGGACAGATCTATCAAAACAAAAATTTCACAAATTGACTTGTGGCAGAGGTGGCATCCTATGACAGTGCCATGTTCAAAGTCACTGAGCTCATCAGTATTGACCCTTTCTACTGCCAGTGTTCATCTGTTGAGACTGCAAGGCTGTATACTTCATTTTATCCACCTGTTAGCAATGGGTGTGGCTGAAACACCTGATCTCAATAATTAGGAGGGGTGTCTCAATACTTTTGTCCATATAGTGTATGTAGAGGTGTGTTTAATTATTCTATGTATGAAATTTCATTAGTTTGTTTTAGTTATATAAAGGACAAAAATGTTTTTTTCTAAGTGTAACTTGTTAAATTATATTACATTTGAACATCAACAGCGCTTAAATGAATACTTGATATCTGTTGGAAATCAAAAACCATTTATTTATGTCAACCATTAAACTCTGAAACTGTGTGTGTGCACCTTGTACAATGGTTTCTTGAAACATTTTAAATTTTCAGTAGCAGTTTTTGGACCTTTTGACTCAGATTTCCTTAATCCTTGCCATTACAGACACGACCAGACCCCCTAAGAAGGATGAGGAAAATGGCAAGAACTACTACTTTGTGTCTCATGACCAAATGATGCAGGACATCTCAAACAATGAGTACCTGGAGTATGGCAGCCACGAGGACGCTATGTACGGCACACGGTTGGAGACTATCCGCAAGATCAATGAGCAGGGCATGGTCTCTATCCTGGATGTAGAACCACAGGTACAAATAATGTCCCTGATCAGTATTCTGTTTATTGCCTTGGTTATTAATGATTTACTGATGAGAATATGGCTTCTGATAGGCACTGAAAGTTTTGCGGACAGCCGAATTTGCTCCCTATGTTGTTTTCATCGCTGCACCTACTATTACCCCTGGTATGAATGAGGTAAGCACTGTTCTTCTCAAATACACATCTTAAAAGATAAAATAAATTATTCCTTTGTTTTCACAAATATGTTTTGCACCTTCAGATACTTTAAGCTTGTTTTGGGCCTGCTGTTTCTGTCAGTCTTGCTTGATCATACCTGCACGTTTTCTGGCTTTCTAAAATTCTTTGAGCTCTTAGAAGAGAATGTTTTGTCCCTGCCTGTTATCTTTGACTTTTTCCATTGCATGTTGCATGCCTCATCATTTTGCATGTTGTTACTGTGTGCTGATGTCTATGGCATTTCCCTTCACTGCACTCAGCTCCCCAGGTGGTGTAGAAAACTGCCTGTAAGTACTTGACATGTAGGGCACATGTATCTAAGCCTTTTACACTGTTGTGCAACATTTTTGTAAATATGTGTGTGTATGCACTGTCAATATCCATTCTGTAGTGACTTGTGTGTATATAGAAATTACAGTAACTACATTTACATGCTCACAATAGCCTGTCAGCTCCTGAACTGTATAAAAGTCTAGTCCATTTATAGTCACATTTACCTGCACACATGTGTAGTCTGATTGTATAACATGAAATGCCCCTTTACGACACACCGATTTACCCACATGAGATTCTTGTTGTTTAACAAGTGGTCCTTTATTCATTTTAATATCTAATGATGTCTATTTATGACAATGTTTAACATAAGGGGATTCGCTCCTAAAACTTTTTAACTTTTGTCTCTCATGTTTGTTTTGGTGTATAAAGCTGCCATTACCAGTGTGGTACAGCATGAAGTGCTAGAAAATAACACAAGAATCTGTGTGATCAGTCAGCAGTGATCTAAGTGATGACAAATCTGTCTTGAATAAACGGAGAAGTGTGAAATCAGATTTCATCCGGGGATGCTTTTTAGTGAAAGTATAAATGAGACCTGGACAAAGTTGATCGAAAGGATATAAAAACACATGTCTGGGTATAAAACACATGTTATTGTAAGGATCTTTGCAGGTGCATGTAAATGTAATTATTGTTAGGCATAAT